TTGCACGAGTCTTACTATGTATATGTTATAATTTTTTTAACACAGAAGGTTTATTAGATAACATTTTAATTTCACGGGTCTTACTATGTATATTTTATTATTCTTTAACGCAGAAGGTTTATTAGATAACATTTTAATTTCACGAGTCTTACTATGTATATTTTATAATTCTTTAACACAGAAGGTTTATTAGATAACATTTTATTTGCACGGGTCTTACTATCTATATTTTATAATTCTCTAACACAGAAGGTTTATTAGATAAAATTTTAACTCGACGAGTCTTACTAGGTATATTTTATAATTCTTTAACACAAAAGGTTTGCCATATCACATTTAAACTCCACGAGTCTTACCAAGTAAATTATATAATTCTCCAATGTTGTGAAGTAGGTTGCGATATCCCAACGCCGTGTATACTGAAGAAGAAAGAAGAAGGAGGTAAACATAGCATTAGAGCATCATATTAAACATATTAAACAGGCTTCTGAGTTTTCTGGTTTTCTCATTTTAGAGAATTCCTTCTGATGCTATACCATACAAGGTATTTACCAAAAGAGGAGAAGGAAGTAGACCAAGAGGAAGACCAAGAAAAAACATGGAAAGATAACATCAGATAAACTCTAGAGCACCGCGATGTGTCCATGGTAGAAGCCGCCAGAAAAGCACGAAGCTGGACCTCATACCTCCCTCGACACCCTAAGCGATAAAAGAGGACGTAAGGAAGAAGAAGGCAATGTCCGAACAGCTCCGAGTCAACCACTTGAAGACTGTAACCCCCAAAGTTTACACCTGAAACACAAGTACGATTCAAGTACGCTGTGCCAGCACAGTACACGAGCACAAAGTCCGAACAGTTATCTCCAGTCTCCACAACTGTACAGAACACAATACATCTTTGCACTCTAGTTGTTCGTCCACTTCTGGATTTTGCTTTTATTCCAGGATGAAAGTTTTGCATTGACATCCGTTATTTGTATGCTGACTGTTGGTCCCTCACGTCTCTGTTAGATACACTCAGACTTCCAGTTTAACGAGATCCTTGTTGAGGGCTCTGTTCTTTTTTTTCCCCCTTCGAAAATAAGACTCTGGACCCAACATTCTGATTCCGATTCCTTTTGAGAAAAAAAAAAATGAAAAGTTCGATAACTTTCAGACTACTACCAGCAAGCCGAAACTACTAACAGTCTCTGTCTATATTTGTGGTCTGGTTTATTTGCGTCGTTTTCGTGACTAAAATTTTAGTATATGCGCCTTCTCTGGGCTTGATGCTTCCTTCCTTCGAGTTAGACCGCTCGTTCTCTGCCCAGTTGTTAGCTGTGTACTTCTTGCCTTTTTCTTACTTGTGTTTCCTTCTTGGTTTCAGCTCTCTCTGATTTGGCGCGGAATATTTCGTAGGAGAGCGAGCTTCTTATATACATAACGTCCTTTTGACCACCATTTATAGTTTTACAATTTCGAGTACTTTACTTTGCAAAAAAGTACCGAAAACAGTTTTTGGTTTTGGATAGATCCAAAATGTGAAAGTATTTCGCGTGTGATCATAGTGGTCTTATAGTTGTCTTCCTGTAATATGAACGTGTTAGTCATGTCGTGGATATGTGTGTGTGAAATGTTAGGTGGAACCTCACAGTTATTCTTTTCGTAATTTGTTAGTGTTGGGTCCGGTTGTGTCGTTTTTGGGTTGGTAGCTAGGCTCCGGTGCACGTAAATACCATATACCCGGAACACCCAGCTCGCACTTTGAGATCCAAATGTTCGGCAATGAGGATTGCTGTAGCATTTTGGGTACCGAACTCAAGTTCTCTCTAGGGGATGGGGTGGGGCACTGGACTCATTGTGCATCTGGAAGAGGTAGGGAAGGGTAAGGGGAAAGAGGGCGGGAAGCCATTCATTCAGTCCTCGTCGTTGCCGTCTTGCTGGATTCTAGCGTAGCCTCTAGCCCGGATTATACATATCACGTCACCAACGTTTGCTATCTTCCCACTGATTGGGTGGGGCGGGGGGGGGGGGGGGGTGGAATTGGTGGTTAAGTGTTCAAGTCCTGTCAGTATCGATCCGCTTGTCTTCAATATTTGCTGTCAGTCATATCATGTTGTGAGCCCCACTAGTCATGTTTATATAGTCTGCATGATGTGGAATGAGATGGTCTTGCGTATAAATCCCCGGAATATATGGACGCACACAACTAAGTGTATGCGTACATACACTCGAGCATTCATACACTCAGACACCACTACATGTTTGCACTTCCTTTCATACTTATCCGTGTATGCATACCTATTTGTCATTCCGTACACATGCATTATCTTTCATATGTGTCTACCAAAGTCGACCCCACATAAGGTACGCAGAAATAAATATAACTCTCCGGTGAAAAGCAGACGTTAAAATAGACCGATATCCGCACTCGTAACAGAACTGAAGCTGATTGTAAGCAGTACAGAAACGGAATTTCCCAATTTACCCAGGCAGGGTATAAACCTGTTTATATTACCACAAACCATATCGATACAGGGGCGTTGTAGCGTTGTTTGGCAGTTACAGAATCAGACAAATAATCATTAATTCACAATAGTTCAATTTTTTAAAATTTTCTTTTGTATTCTTCTGTTCCGTTGTGTGCCGGAGACATGTTGTGTCAAGGATGTCAGTTTTAGGACACTGTTACTTTATTGTTGTTGTTGTCCTTCTTCTCCTTCTTCTTCTTCTTCTTCTTTTTCTTCTTCTTCTTCTTCTTCTTCTTCTTCTTCTTCTTCTTCTTCTTCTTCTTCTTCTTCTTCTTCTTCTTCTTCTTCTTCTTTTCTTTTCTTCTTCTTCTTCTTCTTCTTTTTCTTCTTCTTCTTCTTCTTCTTCTTCTTCTTCTTCTTCTTCTTCTTCTTCTTCTTCTTCTTCTTCTTCTTCTTCTTCTTCTTCTTCTTCTTCTTCTTCTTCTTCTTCTTCTTCTTCTTCTTCTTCTTCTTCTTCTTCTTTCTCTTCTTCATCTTCTTCTTCTTCTTCTTCTTCTTCTTCTTCTTCTTCTTCTTCTTCTTCTTCTTCTTCTTCTTCTTCTTCTTCTTCTTCTTCTTCTTCTTTCTTCTTCTTCTTCTTCTTCTTCTCTTCTTCTTCTTCTTCTTCTTCTTCTTCTTCTTCTTCTTTTTCTTCTTCTTCTTCTTCTTCTTCTTCTTCTTCTTCTTCTTCTTCTTCTTCTTCTTCTTCTTCTTCTTCTTCTTCTTCTTCTTCTTCTTCTTCTTATTCCTCTTTTTCTTCTTCTTTTTCCACTTCCTGTGTTACAGCTTCGGGTGTCAAAAAACACACTTTTTCTTCTAATCCGTATCCACAAGTGGGTTCCAGGGCCCCATTCTTGCTGGATGTGGAATAGACTATTGCCTCCCTAACAAGCATGACGCACAAGGCGACTAGTTAGGGGTTTCCTTCGAAGTCGGAGTGTAATTGCCGGCAAGGTGAGAAGCCAACAGTCTGCATACAAAGAACTGCGAAACGAATGTGCACGTAAAACTGAAGTCCTTGTAGAAGAGCAACGTCCAGAAACAGACGAACAGCGAGAATGTTCCACCGGGTTTGCACAGCCGGTGAAAGCTAAGTTTACGAAGAGATCAGTCCTTTCGGAAACATGCCAGTTGACATTTGATAGGTAATGTGGGCCGCCTTTATATCACAGCACATCTACTGACACAGAGTTTTCAATGAGGCTAGACGTCACATTAGGAGGCTGAGTGGTCTTGAGGCATGGTATCCGCCTTGAGAGCTTTAGGTCCTGGGTTCAAGCCTAAGTGAAAGCTGGGATTTTTTTCATGTGGACTTCTGGTAATTTCCCCTGGTCTTTGGGAGTAAGATCGGACACCCGTGTGTATTCTTGCTCTTGTAAAATATCCATGGCTGTTAAAAATCGAAAAAAAAAGTGGACTAACGGCGCTGTCCAGGTAAAATTTAGAGTTTGAAAATCTACCCAAAGTATTTCAGGATCCTCGCTGGTGCAATGGAGTTCGTGCACTGCGTTGAGAATCTTCACACCCAGGCTTGAGTTAAAAGTAGAGTGGAGCACTTATGCGTTACACCTGAGTGCCGATGTTGATCCATTGAATAAACAAGCAAAGAAAAGAACAGGAGGCTAATTTTTTTTTTTTAACTTCCTCAGTCGGGACTCGAACATATAACCATCATCAGGCACATGTATTAACGACAACGTGGCTTTAACTTATTGACATTGTATTTTACAATATAAATCCCATTCTTAGATTTTGATTGAGTTCTTGCCAAACTTTATTTCTTCAACTTTTTTTTTTTCAGTTCTGTACATGAAGATAAACAGGTTGACATGTTGCCACAGGAGGTGTAGAACATCATCTTTCGGATGTTGAGATATAATATGAGATCAAGAAGAGTTTTAAAAGGTGCTCAGAAGGCCAAGACGGAACCCAGAGCATCAAGTCATCGGCAAGAGTATTATGTATATCACCAAATCTTACTAAGTGAACAGTGTGAGGTGAAGATGCTAGGATTCATGAAAAAGTGGACATAGAAACATCTCTATAGGAGATGGAGAGAACATATAGACACCCCCATAACTGAGTGGAAGACATACAAAGACGCCTCTACCACTGGAAGGTGATCATACAAAGACGCCTCTTTCACTGATAGGTGAACATACAAAGACGCCTCTATCATTGATAGGTGAACATACAAAGACGCCTCTATCATTGATAGGTGAACGTACAAAGACGCCTCTATCATTGATATGTGAACATACAAAGACGCCTCTACTACTGATAGGTAAACAGACAAAGACGCATCTGTCACTGACAGGTGAACATACAAAGGCTCCTCTATCACTGATAGGTGAACGTTCAAAGACGCCTCTACAACTGAGTGGTGAACTTACAAAGACTGCCCTGTCACTGAAAAGTCAACATCCTCTACACTACGGAAGAGAACAAAGAAGAGCACTATGTGTTCTGAAACGAGATTCATGACACATCAGCTTCAAGCCCAGACCTAGCATGAACCTCAGCAACAGCTCAACAATCCCGAACCTTCTCCCAGAAACCTCAGTCGACGATATCATCCTAGTTATCGTTGCTCTAGTTTTGTCAATATCCATTATCTCCGTCAACTTCGTCACCATCGTCGTCATCAAGAGAACCCACCATTTGCACACCCTGTCCAACATCTACATAGTATCTCTAGCAGTTGTAGATTTGATTGTCGGACTTGGACTTTTGCCGCTGTCTGCGTTCTACGTTCCCTCAGTCAGGCGAGATTACTACGACCGCGATGCCAACTTGTGTGTCTTCGTGCTTGGGACTAATCTAGGAATGGCTGTAGTGTCCACTCTACACATGACCCTCATTGCCACTGACCGATACTTGTACATAGTTTGGCCTTACTTGTACCAGAAATATGTCCATCGGAAGCTTGTCTTCGCAATTCTGGGCAGTACTTGGATATTTGGCATATTTTACGGCCTGGTTCCCCAATTTATCTATCGGGATATAACGAGATTCAATAAATGCGACATAACTCTGATCATGCCAAAAGAATATTTGTTTTATTCAAACGTCTCCATCTACGTTCTGTGTGTCACAGTCGATGTTGTCTTGTATTCCCTGATCCTTATAGCAGCCAGTAGACAACGGCGAGTGATCCGATCCAGCTCTCAGTCTGTAGATAGCACCAACACGGATGGCTCACTCAGCGACACGACCACATGCATTACCCAATACAACATATCAACAATCTGCTACAACAACAGAAGAACTCATGATTCAAATCAATTCTTACCATTATCAAATTCAGAAATATCTCAACAAGAAACGACCCGATATACTGAAAGCAGTCATCAATCAAACAATCCACAGCATTCAAATAATGCACAGCACAGTAAAACATACTCTGTTAAAAGGCCGTCAGGAACTAGTCTTCCGTCTGGAAAACTTAGACACAGGAACAAGCGTTTGACAAGTGTTCGATTTTTTATGACAGTGTTTGGAGTGTACTTTTTCTGTCTGACGCCAACCGTTGCCTGCATGGGCATCGACTACCACCAACCGATCCCCAGAGTCGTCTACAATTTGTTCAACCTTCTAGCCTTGTTGAATTCTGGCATGAACTTCCTCATCTTCTTTGTGTTGAACTCTCGGTTTAGAACTAGTGTGATTGAACTGTGTCGATGCGGAAAGTTCCCTAGGCACCGCAACTCTAGTGATATACCTTTTTTTGATAGTTAACGGTAATAGAGCCGAGGCCAATAAAACTTAGAGTGCTTGTTTACTAAGATGAGGATCAAGGTTCTGAAGGCTCGGGTGGCTAGGCCACATTTAGAGAATGGAACATGTTATAGAGTGCCCAACGACAGCCCTTACCGTTAACTATTTATGTGTAGTAGATGTGAAGAACGGCCAAAACTACTATTTAAATTGTGTGTAAGCGGGACATGAGTAATGCAGGTATTGAGATAGATTCATGTGAACAAAACTCCAATGGACTATGTTGCTTGCTTCTTCTTCTTCTGCCCTTTATCCCCCGATGAAGCTTAGACCCTGAATCAACTCACGCCAAGTGATTCTACCTTCTGCTATTACACGCAGCTCCCCCTGTGCCCTTCCCATCTTTTCAACTTCCCTCTCCAGCACCATTTTCCATGTGTGTGTGTTGTGTGTGTGTATGTGTGTGCGTATGTTTGTGTGTGTGAGTGTGTGTGTGTGTGTTTGCCTGTTTGAATGACCCTATGGGTTCCAGTACAAAGACATTGTAGTTTGACATTGTTCTCATGTTTTCTCTGCGTGTGCTCTATCCAAAATCAGTGTCGTTTGATCACCTCTTGATTCACATGGATTTGCCTAGTTGTTTCCGAAAGCTCAACACAAGTGATTTAATTATTTCATCAATTCCATCCATTCTGCGCATGCTCCCGTAATGAATATTTGTTTGGTTTACTCAAGGGAAAGACGAGACGGAAATACAACCTGACATTTACTGGTGCTATTGCAATTGGAACTTTGTGTTTGCTGCTGAAGATTGGGACTGAGCGTTTATGTGAGTGTCTCGAGTTTTGTGATGTTTATTCTCAGTTCAAATTTAACAACATTCAGCATTCAACAGTTTATTTGTATTTGCTTTAGTTATCAATGTTTCCACTCCATACAATATACTAATTTGACAATAGAATTAAAAATTGCAGGCTTAGTGTACTAGTTTTAATTACCTTTCAATGCTACAAATGTCCAAGTGCTCTGAAACCCTTTTTGCTTTTTGTATTCGTATTTTTATATCTGTATCAGTTCCCCCATCTTTGTCTAAATTTTTTTTTTCCCAGCAACAATATGTTTATTTGCTTGTCAAAGATGTGACCTCTGAGGTCATCAAAGTAAATCAATAAGGTAAAAAAAGAATACGTGATTGATTGACACTTATAGAAGGAAGAGCATAGGATGACAGGACAAACCAGCTAGTGTGCTTCATCAACAGCTGAAAAATAAACCACTAAATGTAGAGTACTTTGTAACTATCAGTCTAGTATGTCTGCACACACCACATTGTCCTCCTTCAAAGTGCTAATCTTACTGACAAGAGTTGATCTGGTTCATTTCTCAGACTTTGGAAACACTTGTAGATTAGTCTGTACATGAAAGTCAACTTTCACCAGCAACCAAGACTGACTGGCCAGCAAATATATACTCAGCTTTTATAATCTTTATAATCGTAGACTCTTGTGGGAAGTTTCTTTTCGAGGAGACCTTCGTCCCAGGCCTGCATGACCTCAATGATCAACTGCTGATGCTGCTTCTGGCAGACGCCTGTCAGCATGGAATCCAGCACCTCCCCCGTGTAGGGGGAAACAAACTGCTCCAGCAGTTTCACATTCTGGAAATTTAACACCAGATACTCATCTCTACAGATGGGACATGGGCTGGCCGTGCTCAGTTGCCCCTTTCTAATGCATGTTCTTCTTGTTGGTGGTGGCTTCCTCCCTTTAAAGTTTCTCCTGTAGTAAAACCACACAGGCTTGCCTCGGTAACCTAACGCTTCACTGTCCAAATATTTCATGCTTGTTTCAGGACTCACAACCTTTCTTCTTGAATCTTTCTCTGCTTCACCGGCTTCACCGCCTGTTTCTGCCTCTTCTACTGCTTCGGCTTCCTTTTCTGTCCCCAGCATCCGTGTCACATTCAGATTTCTCTTCTGCAGCAGTGACATGGACAGGGAATCCTTGAGACCCTGCAGGGTTTGACAACCTGCACGAATCCACGATCTCAAGGGCGCAGCCATTTTCATTTCCTACATTACTGCTAAAAAAAGTATAGCACTCCACATTCTGGAGTGGGATATCAGAAAGATAGAATACTTTTTGCTTGGTTTATTGTCATCTTTCCTTGTGGATTTTTAGACCTTATGTGATTTCGCGTCAAGCATGTTTAATAATTCGTGCATCTGATTCCTTGAATGAGAGAGAAGAAAAACATCATCAACGAAGTCAAAGTCATCAAGTTATTTGTAGTGGTCCACTAAATAGTCAATTTCAAACTTTTAAACAGATATTTAGGCTCTCCTGTAAACTACGGCCGGTAGACAACAGTAGACGGCAGGTTAGTCGGAGTTCTGTCCCTTGGCTACAGTGCAAGTACGGAGTGGAAAAGGCACGAATCACAACACAAAGTGACGTCGACATGGCTTGCAGACCCCGCGCTGCGACTCAAATTAGCAACCGCGTTCAGTTACCGCTTCTTGCGACGCATTACGGAGTGGAATAGAGGGAACGAAGCAAGTGACATAATTACTGTGTGTTGGCGATAGACAGCGTGCAGTGCCCTACTGTCATCATATAGTTAGGGTTTGGATTAGGGTTTGGGTTAGGGTTAGGGTTTGGGTTAAGTTTAGGGTTAGGGTTTGGGTTGCTACTATGAGTTTGTGCGAAGGCGAGATGCGGCGACACTAACCGTAACCCTAACCCAAACCCTAACCATAACCCTAACCCTAACACCGTAATCGTATGATTAACGCAGGGCAGTGCACGCTGTCTATCGCCAGCACACAGTAATTGTGTCAGTTGTTTCGTTCCCTCCTTCTCCACTCCGTAATTGCACTGTAGCCAAGGGACAGAACTCCGACTAACCGGTCGTCTACTGTTGTCTACAGGCCGTAGTTGACAGCAGAGCCGATATTTTCATTGCATGGACAGTATGAAGTTGTTTAGATTTCTCGTTGCTTTACATTTTCTTACTATCTACCCCCCTTTTCCCCCTTGGCTCCTTAACATTACTTCTAAACACCATTACCTTTAAGACATAGCGTACTGTTCGTCATAGTCGGTGTTTCTTAAAACAGCTCCGCATGTTAAAACGGGTTGAAACAAATGTTTTAAAGCAATGCAGAAATACAAAAGACATATGTTTATGTGTTTTTTTTCTCTCTCGTTTAACCAGCTATTGTGTAATCTTGTAAAGCTCTGCAGCTGTCGACTTCATTCCGAACGCTGATCTTCCTGTAACCATTGAGGCACTAGGGTTTCCCAGATGAAGCTCCTGTCACTAAAGATATCTTGCCCGACTGACGGCTGCAAGGAGAAGCTAAGATAACTCTTTCGCTCCGGGTCATAGGGTGGCCATACGATGTTCTTCTTCTTCTGGGTTAGTTTCTGGCTGGGATTACTGAAGACAGAAGACAGTAGATAAATCTTTAACTTGAAAGGTAATTTCATGTATGCATATTATTCACGAAAAACGTTGACATGCTGCGTGATCTGAACATCGAGGAGAACTAGCTCATAAACAAGATTCTGTCCGGAACATAAACTTTGGCCATACACAAGGTCATGTTTGACGCATGCAATGTCCAGGTTCCCTGCGCCTCTTGCACTGGGCCTGTCCCACACATGCACTTACCAAATGGTCTAAGGTTAACTCATCAGTGTCAAGTCTTACAGGTCACATACCCACCCAACAGCAACAGATCGCTTTAAAGACAGGTTTTTCGCCAAAGACTACATGCTGTATTCAGATACCGACATCATAAAACGGGTTGCATTACGAGATACGATTGACACAATGAGCCACATAACCCTTTGACATATCCATTGCTCACAATAGTAGTGCACTGTGTAAAACTCGGCAGAGGCCAACCACCGCGAAGGTGAATGCAAGACAATGAAGATACATTGGCTATAAAAGCACACAGGGCTGAAGAGCCTGCCAAAGAAAGAGAGACTTTCAAGGTGTGCCTTAAAAAGGACGACGTGCAATGATTACAAACGATACTTACATGCACTGGGGGGAAAAACCACACACACACAAAACACACGCACACACAAAATAAAACTGATAAAATGGGATACATTCAAGAGGGCTAAAGAAATAAAACAAATGTTTACGCAACCACAGATATCGAGAGTTTGGAGACTGAGGAGATAGTACTATATCAGGCACATGATGAGAAAAAGAAAGCAAAGCGTTACCAAAGGGTCACAATGAAATGGGGAACAAATGGATCGAGGAAATCAAAGAAAACCTCTGCAACAAATGTCGATGAGTACGGTCAAATGTGTTGGACTGGATTCTATGCCTTCCTCCCAGATGTTCTGCTGTTTAAAAAAAAAAAAATCTGATCTGCAGTTTCATCTGGCTGCATTCTCGCTAGATGGCCAAACCATTTTATTCTTTGTCAGTATAATTCAGATATGGTCTTTTTCCCACCTTCTCTGTGTCTAATGCTAGTATTCGTAACCTTGTCCCTCCTGCTGTTGCTAGTGGCCTTACGGTGACAGCGCATTTCACAGGTGCTTATTTTCTGTCCTAGTAAACTACTCATTTCATGGTGCCCGCTAGAAAACTTAAGCCGTGTAAGTTTCCTCCCAACGGGCCAATTACTACACTGGGAGGTTACCCTCCCCCCACCCCCCGGTCAGTTTATTTCTTGCCCCGTTACGCAACGGACCTAGCAAGACAGCAGTAGAGTAATGAACCTCTGCCCCATAAGAAGAATAAATTGTAGGATAGTGAACAGCGAAAATTAGCAGCTTGCTAAAGCCCGTAGGACCCATCGTGTGCGAAGGGACTCCCCTATGTCATTTTTAGCCTAAATCTGATCTAATAAGGAAAGCAGGGAACCCATTTTACTGCTTAACAAATGGATTGCAATCTAATTTATCGCTAGGCATAATTCGTTCAAACTCTTCAGGTGCGTTACTAAAGAGTTATACCAACATGAAGCTAGTTATTAAGTCGACAGATTATCCTCATTGCACAGCGAACCATTCAGTCTGTAAGTGCTCTGATCCCCTCCTTAGTAATTGCCGCAACTTGTCCGGAAACAAATAATGCCCCATAGAAGAGTTGACTTCTCTCCTGTTGGTTGGTTTTGACACCTTTGTGGAATCACTCATTTGTGCATAGAGCCATGTGAAAAAAAATGTATAGAACCCTTTTCCCCGCCTTTCAGGCTTATTGGGTATATAGGGCTAGACCTATATTTTATAGACCAACGGCACAAGATAAGTGATGTTTTCAGAATCAGGTCGGCCGCCTTTACTTCACAGGACTGCACCCGGTACCCACTCAAGGCTAGGTCGACCTGGGAGCCAAGGTCATTTTTGAAAAAAAGTTGGACCCTGCCAAGGAGCGAACCGCAGGCGAGCAGAGCGTCTAACCGCTAGGCCACAGCGACTCCCATAATGCCGTGTGGGTGTATGTTTTAATAGGTTGGAAATATACCTGACGATAAATTATGCAATGTATTGTTCGAATCCGCAATATATAAATTCATAACGGAAAAAAGATTGTTTCGAAAGACGTATAACTAAACTGATAACGGGAGCCATAAGAATCCCAATTGATCAAGCACGCAATTGGACAGATTTTTATAATTGTCCTTTGTTCTTAGATCTAAAAATGGAACTGGGAAACACAATGTGAAGTACAGACAGTTGGTTATACAAACGTTAGTCTTCCCAAACAAAGCAGGTCACGTTCTATTCATAAATTTTTGGGCTGGTCTACCTTTCTGCAGCTTATGGGTGTGCCGCTGTGTTGTTTGCTTTTGGGTTGTCTTGCATTTACGTTTTTATTCCGAGAATGTCTGTGACTCTCTAAAAGGGTTTAGTGTTAGACCCAGTTTGTCGTTGTTTCTGGAGTGTTAAATGTGCGGGCGTGCTGAAATTTACAGCATGCACTATCAACGGCATTGCGGGAAATCCCCGTAACTTTGTGGCAAGGAAGCGTGGCTCAAGGTTGACCAGTCAGAGGTGTGCTAGGCTGAAGGTCGACCAGTCATAAGTGAGCTAGTGTGTAACACTGTGTAAATGAGGAGACAACCGTTAGTTTTACCAAGACAATCTGCGTATTTTTGACCACATCACCCTCAGACAGATAATTGGTCTATGAAACTGGTCGTTCGTCAATTATAAGAAATATAGGAAACTCGAATCTTTTCGTCATTTGCAAACAGAGGACCGTCCTATTACATTTTACATGACTTCTGATCGTTCGAATGCTAGGAAGGATTTTTTTCTGAAGATGATTTGTTTCTCTTTCCTTCTTTAAACAAAGCCGGATCTTCACTGTGCGGGAGCAAAAACGCATGACAATATTTTGAAAGCTGCTGTCTCTAGCCTGGCAAGTTAAAGGAAAACAAAACTTGAGATAAGGTGTCGTATATTTTTTTTTTTCAATGCTGTTGCAATAGACACTTCCTAATGAGTACCGACGTCTTTTTTGTTAAGTCTTTGTATTGATTAACAAGGAATGTAATTGTTTTGAGAATTCAAGTAAATTACTTTTAGGTTGCGTAAATATATTTACACAAAGAAACACATACACGCACACACACTTATACATAATTGTGTTTGTATATATGTATGTGAGTGTGTGTTTGTAATAAATAAATGGAGTGTTGGTAATAACTATCATGGCAAAAATGACGACCGGGACAATGATAATGATAATACAGATATTGATTATAACGAAAATGCTTACCCAGTTTTCATAAAGTCTGTAACCAAGTCAATGAAATCTGCCTTTAGTGCCACATCCTCCTCATGAAAGCCGTCTACAATCTCAATATAGTAGTAGCTTTCCATAAGCCCTTTAATATCTAAATCAAACAGATACGCTAGATCCAGCGAATGCAACATGTACTTATTGGGCACGTACTTTGGGATGTTATCGAAGGACATCAGGTAGGCATTCTTTCCTGCATCGACCTGGTGCTGCTTTGGAGGCCTGGAGTACGATTCCAGGAAGTGTACACTGTGGTTTAAGAAAACGAAGTCCCTGAGTAAAGCTGTCACAGCTTTATCTATATCCCCATACAACTTTGTGTATTCGGTGATAATCTCAGCAGCGACATTCCGTGGCAAAGACAACGTTCTGTAGACTCCTTCCGCACTTTTGTTAACTGAAGTAGTATCCACTATCCCAAACCGGGAGTTGACAAAGATGTACCCATCATCACTAGTGATGCTAACAATGTAATTCCTATTCAAGAAACCGACGTCAGATAAATAGCTAGTATTGCCTAGAAGTTGCCTAAACGGCTTGGGTAGAAGTTCATCGTCTGAGGACACACATTGGAAAATAAAATCTTCATCAAACGTATTTGCAAAAATGTCACCGGGAAGTTTCTTCAGGCAGTTCACGATTGTTTCTTCGTTTCCATTGACAGACCCAACGTCGCATCCAAACCTGTTAGCTGCTGCTTGCAGTAGGTCGTTTGTTGTGCGAGGGGGGTTAGGGGCAATTGCTGCAGTACCACTCATGAGCAAAACCTGTCAATAGTAAACTGTTTTGTCATATTAGGATGTGCATAAAAAATGACGGACGTAAGAACAAGATAAAGAAAACACAAGAAAAATGAACGGGTCGACGACTGATGATGATGATGGTGATGATGATGATGATGATGATGACGATGATGATGAGGATGATGATGATAATGATGATGATGTGAATGACGGTGGTGATGGCACTGACGCTACTGAACTAAGCCTATGACTATCAACTTGAAATAATCCCATGTTGTACTGTTTTATTATAATGGCAATGGTAATTACCAGGCTAACAGATCAGCTGATGCCGCTCCTCTGTGAAGTGAGCTACTTAAGAATAGTGAAGGTAACAATGCAGTAGAAAATGTCCGTATCTGGAGAGGCCGGTCTAGCTGGGAGTAGGCAGAGGAATTTTTAAGGCAAAACAGGCGAGCTTTTAATTAAATTGCAACTGGTACCAGCAGTACGGGAACGCTTCGTTAGCTACTGAAGTATGGAGCACATGTAAACATTTCCCAAGCGCTTTGATATAAAATCTTGATTAATTTATTGATTAATTCATTCAATCGCGAAGTCATGAAAAGAATCATAGTCACTAGATTAAAACAGATACCAGGATATTCTGTGAGATGGTGATGATGTTAGGCAGTCGCCGTGGCTGTTTTTGTAAGAGTCGTTTTCTCATTGCTAATTAATGTTTTTATTTGTAAATTTTATTTGTAACTACAAAGAATAAAAAACATTACCCAAGTTTGATTGAATGGTATCGATTACCTAGTATAATTTATACAGAAACAGGATCGAGTAATAAATAACTCCAGACAAATGTGCAAGTTGGCTGAAAGTGTGCCAGGTGAGAAAAAACATGAATCATGTGTGAAACGTTCGAGAACTCGAGAGGGAAACATAATATTTATACTTGAAATGATAGCGAAGAATCAACCTTGTCTTTGATCCTGGGACATTGTTGTCTGGCGGCCCTGGAAGAGGGAACGTTCAGTGAATCTTCAAGTAATTGAATGTCTGATCAAGCGTCAATCATGGGTCCCGAGAAAACCTGACCATCTTGTTTAACCAGCCATCTTGCAATGGCCCAGCATTGTCTGCTGTCGGTGCGGGTGGTTGTCAATGCTGGTTGGTGAGATTTGAGGTGTCAATTTTTGGAAACGCTTTATTAATTCCGGTAACGGCACATTTCCTGTTCTGTAAAATATTTATTTCTAGACGTCAGACCTCTGGCGCATTGACTGAGGAACATTACTGGGATAATAAATGACAGTTGTCATCAAGTTTTGCGTTTCTTTGCGCGTGTTCGTATTTCAAGCATGAAGTATTTGTCAGTGTGTCTAAAGTCTTCAAAGACTGCATGAAATAGCACCAAGAGAGTCGTTGCACATTTGACGTCGATGCCGCCTTCTAGGTCAAGAAATGAGACGTTGTAACTAACATCTCATGGGAACAATCAGTAGGAGTGCATCGTTTCCTGCTGCATCTGAGGACTGATTACGTATGGGAATGTCCAGTGAGGGGTGATGTTGATTATGCGTAACATTAAACCCTACATCGAAACAGCAAGATTCCAGTGGAACCAGACAGGAGACACCCACCGTCTCCGTAGGCAGTGGAAGGTGTGTGCCAAAGATGACTTCTTTTGACAACTCAATATTCATGTTTTCTTGCTGACAGTTTTGAGAAAATGGCGTTAGTCGTTCATTTTTATAATCTATTTGTATTGGATAAGTAAGTAAAACAGAATAAAATGTAGCCTCGCCAATCTTCTTCTTCTTCTTCGCGTTCACCAGCTGTACACTCTGGCATAAAGTTCTGGTTGTTCGTCCACTTCTGGACTGCAGTCCTGCTCCAGAACCTGAGTGTTGCGTGTGCATCAGTTTTACAGATCTGATTCAATTGAATGCAGACTGCTGGTTCCTTGCCTCTCAGGCAGATGCACTCCGACTTCATAAAAGGCTCCCCAATTAGTCGACTCTTACGACATGCTTTTGGGGAGGCAGTGGGTCTATTCTTGTTTTCCCCACAAAAGGGCCCCGGAACCCACATGCTTAACCAGTGTGTTGAAAATTGATAGAATCATAAATCGACATTGCAGCACTCGGGGCATTCCTTTAGGCGCCCCGTCCCCATCTTCAGCAGTAAGCGCAGGGTTCCAATTCCGATGATACCAGTAACAGTCTGATTGTATATTCGTCTCGCCCTTCCCTTGAGTGTTGAGTGTCGGCCAGATAGCCTGGAGACTCCACACAGAACGATTCTTCTCAGACCGCAATGATCCATTTGTTACTACACACTGTTCACTCGCTCCCAAAAAACCCCTTACAAAAGTTGTCTTGTCATGCATCAATTTAACTGATATGTTGGAAGAGAAGAGGTATGTTCAAACATGTAATAATGGGCCTATCGAAACAATAACTAATAACAGAGAGACAAAACCTCAGAACCCAAAAGAGAAGAATGAAAGTAGCCTACTATGCTGACCAAGAATACGACGGTCAAGAATTGCCTACAGACATTTGAAGTCACAAACTGGAAAGATAATGTCCAGGATTGCCTACAGACATTTGAAGTCACAAACTGGAAAGATAATGTCCAGGATTGCCTACATACATTTGAAGTCACAAACTGGAAAGATTATGTCCAGGATTGCCCACAGACATTTGAAGTCACAACCTGGAAAGATTATGTCCAGGATTTCCCACAGACATTTGAAGTCACAACTGGAAAGATTATGTCCAGGATTGCCTTAAGACATTTGAAGTCACAAACTGGGAAGATTATGTCCAGAATTGCCTACAGACATTTGAAGTCACAAACTGGAAAGATAATGTCCAGGATTGCTTACAGACATTTGAAGTCACAAACTGGAAAGATTATGTCCAGAATTGCCTACAAACATTTGAAGTCACAAACTGGAAAGATAATGTCCAGAATTGCCTACAAACATTTGAAGTCACAAACTGGAAAGATAATGTCCAGGATTGCCTTAAGACATTTGAAGTCACAAACTGGAAAGATAAGACCAATCACGCAGTTGCATGGAGGCGGGTTGTGTCTGCAGCTATGAACTTCAAGGAACTTGAATGCCGAGAACAAGTGAAATAACAGATCTCTTCCCACGCCTTGGTAGTATTTCTTTAGATCATTATTGCACCGGCCACAATTACTTCCCATGACGTTTCCTGGTGCATACATTTCCAAGACAAAGATTTTAAAATCCCAGCCTCGAAGCGGATTTGAAAACGCGAATACCAGGCCTACCAGCCCCTGTCCTAACTTGTTGGCCCCTTTCCGTCTTTCCAGTCGGCAGTGTTGTATTGTACTCTGGGGAGGTATGTTAATCACAGCCTTGGCAGGTAAGACCAGAAATGAAGTTCCTGCTCTCTATCGCACAAGGACTGGGTCGCAATAGAGAGAACATATATTCCCCATGCATCGTGATACAGCTGTCGCTCTGCCTTGCTTACTTCAAAATAAAAAGTAACATCCGTACGTTTAGAACAAAGAAGGCCGCAGAAGCAGCCGGATCAGAAGAGCAGTACTCGGTCTCACCGCTTGTCGGAGCTTTTCTCGTAGACCAGATGCCAGTCAAGGCTAAGGGCCTTGTCTGCCCTTCTATAATATGATGTTTTCACGTTGATTTCTTCATCTAACGTCAAGGCTTGTATCCTCCTCAGCGCGATGACCACCTCGCAACCACTGGTACAATATCGGATGTCAGGTTTGGTTTACACCGCCCAACATTCGGCTTTAACAGAAGACAGTACCGCTTCCTGTTATAACCAGTGTTGCCACTTTGGATGTTTTTTGTCAAAGAAAAGTGGCAACACTGGTTGTAGGGTAGCTCAGTCATATCTGACCAACTAAGCCCCCAACTAAGCTGCCATAAAATATACTATAACTAACCAAATTATTTGAGTTGTCTGGTGTTTGGTTGTGTTCACCAAATGTAAAGTCCGGCCGAAAGTCTTAGCTGTTAGGTCCATTTCTGGACTTTCTAGACTTTGGCTTTGTTCCATGACTTGAGTTTGCGAGTATTTCAGTTTTAGATATTTGTACAATGTGTTGTTTTCTTGCCAAACAGGCAGATGCATTTCGACTTGGAAGGAAACGTCGATCTTATCTCTAGGATGACAGGAGCCAGATTATTTGAGTAATTCTTACATTGATGAATGACAGGCCGAACCGTCTATACCCTCTACTGCACTAATCAACGGCCCCAAATCGCCTTTCATTACTCTTTTCTATTCTACACTCTAAGAAGGGTAAATAAAAACAGACACTTAATGAAATATAATACTTACTTTGGTAAACAAACCTTTGCCTAACGGAGAAACACTCAAAATCGACGCACTAATGGAACCTGCAGATTCACCAGACAGAGTGACATCACTAGGGTCACCACCAAAAGCCTGGATGTTGTCCTTGACCCACTGTAGCGCCAGCACCTGGTCCCAGAGACCTACATTTCCAGGCAGAGAACTGGAGTTGCCTCGCAAGAATCCCAGCCAATGGAGTCTGTAGTTCATGGTCAAGACAACAAAGTCTCCCTGGTGAAAGAGGAGGAGTCATAGATGGTTTGTCCAGTTCGTGCTAGGATACACAAGGGAACGAAAGACAAAGCATAACTTCCCTCACCTGGATCTACACATCTGGTCTTGCCGGCGTAAAGAGTAATGAGCGAGTCGACCAACAGGCAACCAGTGCACCAATGCATGAGGTAAGAGGCATGGGCAGAGTGGATATCACCAGTGCTGTACAGACTGGGCTTGTGGATAATAACAAATCTCTGACACTAAACGATTGTGTGGAGTAGAACATGGTGAAGCACTTCTATACGCCTTTGAGGTCAATGTAAGAGACACAATAACCAACTCCTCGTGAGAAAGATTGGTAGAGTTACCTTGGAGTGACTTCTGTATCGGAGGATTGAGCATGCCCTATGTGCTGTAAGGTCGATTGTGATAACACAACGTATCATAACAACAAAAGACAACCATGGGAACTACGCAAAAATGCCAACACACACACAATGTGGTGGTGGAGGGCTCATCGTTTTTTGTTGTTGTTGTTGTTGTTGTTGTTGTTGTTTGGGTGTGCCAGCACCTCTATGGGTGTGATCTAATGCTCCGTTAAGGAAAGTAACATTGACATGTAATGGTAGCTTACCCTGGTAACGAGATCACCGGGCAGGTACCAGTCGGATGCTCCCATGACAAGCCCACCGCCATGAACGTAGACAAGCACCTTCTTCAGTTCACGACCATTTGTCTCCTGTGACAAGGGAACATATATTTTTTTTTAAAGTCAAGGTGGCATATGGTGCTAGACTTTATTAGTGATGAGTGAGAGCTGTCATGACACTACTCCAGACAGCTCCATATGTGCACAGGTCTCCTTCTCAATAGCTCCACACGAGTAGAACGACTGATCACGCCCGTTATGTGTTGGTTAACTAGACGCCCTGGTGCCATTGGTGAAATATTCATGTCTGGTTACTCCAATCTACACCACCATGACCACCCGCCTGGACAAGGATACTCGGTCCTGCTTGTTGTCGTGAGCTTCTCTGCAATACGCTGCTCGCATGGCATTAATGACATCATTCTTGTCTAGCGCCGAGTCAGTCGTGGTAACCGCCTTGTCTACCAGATAATCTGCATGCTCATTGTCTTGAACACCTGCAAAGCCCATCACAATGATAAAGGTTAGGATTTGTGATGCATTTAATGAGAAAATCAATTCATTTCTGACGAAGCCGGTCTGGATATTCTTGAGCATATTTATTAAATCGTCAAGTATGCAAGCGTTTGTGAAATCCTGAGTGCCCAACCATGGCAATGTTCTTGTTGCAGCCGTTGTCTCCATTGTGAGGCTGCTGGCTGTAACGGCACAGTCACCACTCATCTCTTTAATAGCCCCCCACCCCCACCTACCCTTGCCCTCACAGTGAACACCCATGCCACAGGAGCTAGACTTAACATTGCTATAGACCAATCGACATTAGAAACGCTATGTGGTCAACATACTTTATTTCCCATGAGATCCATAGCCCCGTTTTAGGCTAGGTCGACTGGACGTCGAGGACAATTTTATTTAAATCATCCAGGTGCTGATTCTAATCCAAAAGTTTGCGACCGGCAGCAAAACTATAGTAACTAGGCTATCACGACTCCCTTATGATCACGTGTCCATTTTTTAACCTTCCGCAATACCGACAATATAGACCTCTAAACCTTTGTGCTCCAGATGGCAAATACAACAAAAACACTATGCAATAAATTGCAACATCTGACAATTATATCTCCGTGGTTCAGTTTAAAGAATGTTGGGGAAAGAATGTTGCGGTTGTCCCTACCTTTCCACTGACAGGAGTGTACACGTTCAAAAAAAGACAGTCCTCCTGTCCGATGGCCGTTCCATCTTTACGCTGTAGGCACTGCGATCCAAACTCTGTTGCATTGTAGGCTCCCTGGCAAAAAAGACTGAATGCGTGAACATGGAATAAAATAGTTAACTATTTTAATAGAGTCCGCGTGTTCCTTGAGAGATAACGTAAGCTCACATATATTGGGCTTGGGCGATAGAGTAAGCTCACTTATATTGGGCTTGGGCGATAGCGTAAGCTCACATATATTGGGCTTGGACGATAACGTATGTTCACATACATTGGACCTGGGAGATAACGTAAGCTCACATACATTGGATTTGTGAGATAACGTAAGCTCACATATATTGGACTTGTGATATATATATTGGACATTGGACCTTTTCTTTTTTGTGGAGATAACGTAAGCTACTGGTTTACCTTATTAGGGCCTATATATATATATATATATATATATAAGTTGGTGATGCAGTCCTAAATATGATTACATCACCTTTGTGTTTCAATATCGTATCTCTGAAAATTGTTTGCTATTTTTAGGTAGCGTCATTGTCTTTATTAATGCTGCCATAGTTAAAAGTGACTAGGACGTGTGTGAACTGCGCTGATAATTTTTGCTATGTATGTGGTGAGTTGACATCTTTCTCAGAAAAACGAAATATTATTAGTAAGAATAAGAGATCAAGAAAAGAGCTTGGCGCCATATATAAGCTGCATTTCGTGTGCAGCAAATCTTGAACTGTGGTTGACGGGCAAAAAGCAAGCTACGTCTTTTCCAGTCCCGATAAATTGAAGAGAGCCCACTGATCATCCCAGCAACTGTTACTTTTGCATAGTCTCTACAATTGGGAAAGGAATATCAAAGAGGAAGAAATGGACTCTGGAGTATCCTAAGGTATCCTCTGCAATGCGTCCGGTACCGCATGCCGATGACCTGCCAGTACCCAAAGTGGTAGAATTATTTTCAACTGCTTTCACAGATGAAGAAAAGGACAGTGCGTGTTTGAATCACCAACCTCAAGCGACCCAGATTTTTAATAAAATACATCCAGTAAACCACACTTAATAGCGCAAAGTAAACTGAATGATCTTGTAAGAGATTCGAATTTATCGAAGAACAAAGTGGAGCTTTTGGTTTTCAGATTAAAGAGCGGTATCTTCTGGCAGCAGAAGGTGACATTTCTGCATGCCACAACATTTCTGGGCTAATGGCAGCCATACAATTCAGCTACAAACCGGAAGAGTGGAGACCTTTCCTTGATTCATCCGAGACGAGTCCTAAAACTGTTTTGTTGAATAATGGAAATGTATCGCCGTCAAATCCAGCTGGCCACGCAGTTCATATGAAAGAAACTTATAACAACATTAAGATAGCTTTTGAAGTGTATACACGATGATCATCATCATTCGTCACTTTGCGGCGATTTAAAATTGTTTGCTTTTTTTGCTTTGACTGTAGGATGGATATACTAAGTACTGGCGCTCTCTTCGTGAATGAGATAGAAATGAATGAATGAATGAATTTTTACCCCACTAGGACATCACACAAGCGATAAACACCCGATGACACAAAGTGCCACCATGTGGGTGAGGATCACCGTGGAGAGGTCCCAGAAACCGCGTTCAGACAATTGGCCATATCTATGGCCTGCCTATATTGCGGCCCCTGGCAAAAGCCAGAGTGGGGCTTCAAATAACAAAAAAATTACGTCCTAAAAGGGACGCATTAATTAATGAGATAGAAATGCACGACATGACTATTATATCAGACGACACTGGCCAATCAGGCGATCATTGCAGCCTGGCAGTAAGAACATCGACAACCAAGCACCTGTCGACACCAGCAAGATTTTTGTTGCCACCCTTGCACGTTAAGCCGGGTCTCATGAAAAACTTTGTCAAGGCCATGGAGAAAACAGATGACGTTTTCAAATCTCACATCAGAAAATTTTTAAGACAGAGTGAAGCTAAAATAAAAGAGGAAGTATTTGTTGGTCTACATATTCGAAAACTTTTTTGAAAAGTTTCTTTGCTAGTTGCATGGCAAGGGGAAAAAAAGCATCATGACTAGCATTTAAGTCAGTGCGGGGAACCACTTTTTTGGGAACAACATATCTGATAATTATAGTGGGATTTTTATAAATCTTCTTCAGAAGTATGCGAGTCTTGACTGCAACACGTGTTTTTAAAATTCTTCATTCTCATCTGGATATTTTAACGTCAGACTGTGGAGTTGTCAGTGATGAGCACGGTGTACGCTGTCGTCAGGACTTTGCTGCTATGGAGACAATGTGTCAAGACAACTAGAGCCCTTCAGTGCTTGATGATTACAGCTGGACTGTGAAAAGAGACACCTCATTGATTGACTACAAGAAGCAAGCAAAGAGAGCTCGAACAGCTCCTGAATAATGACAGAAAAGGTTTAAATGCTTATGTTTTAACATGATATGTAAACTTTCTATATTTTTTCGATTATTTTATGTTGAAACATCTATTAATTGAGTATGCAACAACAATTTTTTATAAAGCTAAAATAGAAAGACTAAATGTTCACTCCAGGGATTTAAAAAAGCATACATTATTTGTAAAACTGTAATGTAAATTCATCATTTAAACAGAAACAAACGAATTGTTTATTTAAATTCTAGCACAACAAAACTTTTGAAAACTTGTTGACCAATGTTATTCATTCACCTCAGTTTGGCACCTTTAAAAGCTAAAATAATTCATCATTATCATGTAGGAGGTCCTTTGCAAAACGTCGATTTCATCATGGTCTGTCTCTCACCAGCTCTCCCTCCTCATGTACTTTCATACTCATGGAGTCACTTATATCCTGTGCCCATCTTCGCGTAGGTCGGCCCCTGCCCCTGCTTTCTGGTACCATGCCTTCTACTCAATACAAATTAGACAAGTCTAATCGTTTTGAGAGAGATAGAAAGATTGGGAGAAAGATAGGTGTCTCGTAACTTCTTTCATCTGCTTCTTCTTCTTTGTCTCCATATGCTTTTTCGGTACTTAATTTATAACTTACCCCTGACGTCACGACAACGTCACGGGAGACATTCCAAATAAATTCTAGGGTGTTCAGATTGTAGTTTCTCGCGATTTCTCTACAGCCAAGTTTAGGGTTAGGGTTAGGGTTAAGGTTAGGATTAGAATACACTAGATGAACACTCAAAAAAAAAAAGCACCACACAACAGCACACTTGCACCCCTTGAAATAATGGACTGTCAGGTCAGCTGTGGATTTCCCACGGGGATTTCGTGTTTGGGGTATGTTATAAATTAAGAACCGCTTCTTCTTCTTCTTCTTCTTCTTCTTCTTCTTCTTCTTCTTCTTCTTCTTCTTCTTCTTCTTCTTCTTCTTCTTCTTCTTTGTCTGATCTGAAATAAACGGTTGGCAGTATGAGTTGCAGCTAAAAGCTCTATATTTTAAGCCAAATCCAGTTTCATAGAATTGGCGCCAATAAATAACTGACCTCAATGACCGGATGACGAACTGGCAAGGCAAATCTCCGATGGCCTGTTGGAGGTAAGGCATAGGGGATTCCCCGGTAAGACTCGTACTGATGGCCGCTGTGTGAGGTCAGAACTTTACCACGGAAAGTCCCAGCGGGGGTTCGAACCTCTGGCTCAGATGCTCCGACATTGGCACAACACAGTACTACAGCCACCAGAAGTGAAGAGAGGCGATGATGTAGCCGCATATCTAATTACGTTTAGATAACAGGTAATTTTGATTAAAACATAAAATAATTTAGTGTTATAGTGATGTTATCTCTAGAAGTAAATAAGGATCTTTATCCTGCTTTATTGGTTACACAAAGGCTTTTAATAGAGAAAGACACATCAACATGACAAAAATGCTTACAAATCTACCAGCTGGTGGGATAGACCTAATAACAATTAAGAATATGTACTCGGAACAACATGCTGCTATAATAATCGATAAGGAAGTAAGTCTGTACCAACCGACCAAGACATCTGGGCTACACAAATGTGTAAGTGTTTCAGATTTTTTTTTTTTAATTAAACAATGAAAATAGTATGCAACAGCTGACAGACGAAACAGTGTTAATTGCAGACAGTGAAGAAGATCTGCAGTGTTTAATGGATGTAGTAAGAGTCCACAGTGAGAAGCTGCTGGCCTTAGAGCTAAATTATAGTGTGACAGACTCGCGGAGAATGTTAGACTGTTGTCCTGTAATAATTTTTGGTTTGGTTGCACTTGTGAATAAATCTGACGGGACCCTAACGTGGGGCCATTTATTTTGCTGACGTTTGATATGTGTGGAAGGTTCACGGTGGCCATAAAAGGTCGACACACCCGAAAACCGGTCTCTTTTACTCTTAGCTCTGTTGCATTTTATTGTTCCGCCCATTGATCTCAACAGCTACGCCAGGGACATCTCGTTTACCTCAGGGTCATGCAATCGAGATTTAATCTCATCCTCCCTACTAGTCGTAGCAAAAATATAACCGACTTAAGCAAGTGCCAGCCAAATAATTTTTATTTTTACGACATATATATATATATATACATATCCACGTATACGAACATAGTCCGCGCGGAGCGGATGATATCAGCTGTGTGCAGCGTCTATCTTTTTCCATTGGTGCATTGCTTGCCAGCTAGTCAGCTTTTTAACTTTCACTCCTGCATGCTCATGTGTGTAGATCCAGATGATGCAGGTTAACTGCTACTTCAGAATGCTTTCTGTTCAATCGGAGCGTAGACTACCTGTTACCATTTTCTGAACCATGTTTATTTAATCTGAAACGATTACTGCATGTGTGGTCGCTTGTTTTGCTACCTATCCCAGTGCTGTGGCGGCAGCAGCAGTTTTTTCCATGGTCATGCTTGACATAGTTGTTTGGTAGGCGTCGCTTTCCTCTTTAAATGTTTTCCCCATTCTTTTTGCTTGGTATACCCATGCTGACCTTGACTAGAGCTTCACGGATCCATTCGTGCAAATAAAGATTTCCCATGGGCGTGAATGCTGATCAGTCTGTGTCCCCATCTTAGCGTTTACGATGACCGGTGTTTCCTACAGTACCCCTTCATTGTTATGACAATCTTAGACAAGTTATGCATGTCCACTGTTGTCTCTGTCCATTCTTCTCCGTGACTTATCTCGTCTAGGTCACCTACTTGTTGGATTAGATATTAAACCTCTGCCATTCAGGGGTTCCCTCTTTTAAGACGCATGCCTTTTATAACATTGAAAGGGTTGTACAGTGGGTGTTTGATGTTTGCTGGTATTCTCATGTACGCCTTCAGCTGTGCCACTTTATGTCTGGCGACCATCGTCGGTAAACCCAGAGCATATTGCATAGTATGACGCGTGATGTCTTTTGTGCAGCTGAGTATGAGCTGCATGGCCTTATTTTATGTCCGGTCCAGTGTTTCTAGCTGGGTTCTGCTGACAGTGAGGAGGCCCAGACAGTAATCTGTAAAACTCAGCACAAGTCCCTGATAATACAGGAAAAGTAGGCGTTGTTCAGTGACGGGTTATGAAACATTTTCTGACATTGTCTAAGTGATGCTTATATGACAAGTATCTGTACAAAGTCATGCCAGTGTATTTTACCATGTTCGGTCTGTCGATGTCTTTACCACACATGCTCATGCTGATGTAGCTGTTTTGACAATGTAGGTATTCAAGTAGAACCATGTTAATGATTAATTTGTTAGGTTTACGTGCACTCTTGATTCTTTGTACCACTCACTGAGTCGATATAATTCATGCTGTAGCGTTGCTGTAATTTCATGTAGGTTTCCTTCTCGTCGGTAAACAATGATATCGTCTGCGGACGACATTGTTCTTCCTTGACCTTCTATCTGTGCACTCGTGACTACTGATGTGAAAAACTGAAGAAGAGAGGAGACTATGCTGATGGGTAAGTCCATTAAGACAGGTTGAGGTTTTGATGCTCACGTCCTGCATTGCAGCGCCGCTGTTCTTTCGAAGAGGGCTAATGTGATTTAATTTAACCATTTCGTATGTATGTACATATCAAGTCGGCTCTGTGGCTAAGTCGATGGGAACGCTTCGTAATGTCGCGATGCTGGCTTCGATCCCAGCTGCGGGCCACGCGCGCCTTGCGTTGGTTTTGACAGTGGTATCAAGAAAGCCGACCGTCCAGGGGGCAATGGCAAACTACTGGACGTAAATTGCCTAGAGAAACCACACGACAGCCAGGGGCTGTTAGGGTTGGTTCTGCAACGTCCTGTAAAGAATACGCAACTAACCTCCTCATGTACATGTCAGACAGCAGTATGATGAGTACCTCGTATGGGACGTTGTTGTGTGGGTTTTCTAAATCAATGACGACTGCAGCATTTTTGACTCCTACCTTGAAACCCTCATTAACAAATACGCAAATATTTCAGCATTACTCTAAGTATCTCTTCGGGGGTGGTATCTGACTAGGTGGGGGGCCAGAAGAAAAAAAAGTCGACTCTAGTTTTGTGTCAACGTTCTGGCTACGATTTGTTTTTCCCACAAGTTTCACTTCGATGTTCTAAAGTGTAATGATTCTGTAGCCAATTACTTCTGCGGGATTTTTCTCAGGCTTAGGAACGTGTCTCCGTTAGCTATAGGACCACTTCTCACGATCCTGGCCGCTTTTGATGCTCTTGTTAACTGCCATGGACACTTCAGTGCTATTGTAGTGATGATGATGATGATGACTTTGTGAGAGTTCTGTGACCTTTTGGGGGATGGAGAAAAAAGGATGAGAAAAGATCTCCTCCCCTTTGGCATGTGTTGTAGAAGCGTTTAATTATCGGTCTGTTGAAACTGTGTGTTCGGCCAAACTGAATAGTTAAAACAGCCTAGCTGTAAACAACAACCAACGTAGCAACCATGAAATTGAAGGATGAATTCTGTGAATAAATAATGCTTGCCTCATATTAAAATGGTCTGACAGCTGGTGTGGTCGTTATCACTAAAACAGCCGTTACTTTCCAGGTTCTTTCACGATACACATTTTTGCTGACCTAACCTTTCAATTCAATATTTGAAAGGTCTAAAGATTGAGTTTGAAACATTTGACTTCCAGGTAAAAAGACGAGCGTGCTAACGGTATTGCTGACACAGCATGATTGTATCACAACAACATGTACAACAGTGTACAATCCAATCTAAAGATTACTACAACAACCAGCAGAGATCAGTATCCATGTCCAAGTTGATAGATATGGGAGTGTAAGCTGGAATATACAGACAATTAAAACAATTTGATCCACTTTTTTTTTTAACCTTTGTGTAAATATTGAGGAGGAAATCAGAGTACCTATGGATCTGGAGTGCTGCGAGGATAGTCTTCCCTAATCACGAATCACCAGCTATCTTTATGCATGCCCGGCTCTCTAGCGTAGTTGGCTAAACCGGATTTCGCGGAGACCGGGTGACGTACTCCTTGTGGTCCGGATTCAATTCCGGGGGTAGGCAGGAAAGCCACATTTTCTCCCAGATTTAGGGTATTTACAATGGAATCAAGGCCGAAAGGTTACTATATCCATAATACCGAGCCTAAGGGTTAACAACTCATGGCTTCTGGATACTCAAACAAACAAACAATCTTTATGCATAGATGCCCTCTACATTGAGTAGGGAGACCCCAGATCTGGCTGACTTATCCATCCAACAGAAAACAAACTGTTATGGCTCAGTGGGGGACATGTGTGTCACCATAGCTTTCACTGGGTTATGTTGCTCTCTCGTCTGAAAAGCATTGGCAAACAGATGAAGAAGATATCCGATAAGCTTCACTGATTTCATCTCCACAATAGAAAGTATGGGAACCGCTGTGGTGTAGCGGCTAGACTCTGCAGATCCGAAGGCCGTGGGTTCAAATCCACATAAAGAGACAAATTTGTTCTAATCATGATCTTAGCTCCCAGGTCGACCCATCCTTAAATGGGTACCAGGTGAAGTCCTAGGATGTGAAGACGGTCGGTGTGATGTCGACCACATCACCCAGTCAGGGTGTCTCTAGAAATGTCGGTCAAGCCTCAGGTGCCTGGCACTCGTGTAAAGTGACCTTCACTTAATAGAAAGCACACATGCTAAAGTGACATCTGAGCAGTTCTTAGATAAAACCATCATCACCATCTAACACGTCTATTGCAGAACGTCGCTCTCAACACGATCTGCCTGAAAGAAACGCAGCCTCTCTCTAGCTCTCCCACCTTGTGTACTTTCATATTCAAGTCACTTATCCTGTACCCATCGTCGTGTTGGTCGACCTCCGCTCCCCTCCTTCCTGGTACCATGCATTCTGCTACAATTCTTTCTAATCCGTCGTGGCACTTGATATGACCAAAATATTTTAGTTTCCGAGACAAGATGCTGTTTATTAGCCAATCTTCCTTGATGTTCAGATCTGTTTAAATGTTGGTGTTTCTTCTCGTCTTTGTCCACGATATTCTGAGAATCTTTCTACAACATTTTAGCTCAAAGGCCGCTATTTTCTTTCTTAGATAAAACCATGGATGACAAATGAGGCTGCTGATCACGACCCATCTAACTACAATCTAGCACCATCTGCCTGATGACGTAACAAAAGGGGCTCCTAGTGTGGGTTTCGGTGGGGGGGGGTCGTTGGGAAAGCTAGCACCACTACCCCTAACAAGCATGTCTTACACGGCGACTGATTGTGGTTTTTCCTTCGAAGATGGAGTGCATCTTATTGAAAAGTGAGGAACCAACAGCTTGCATAAAATAAATCAGATATGTAAAACTGAGGTGCACGCAGAACTCAAAATAAGGGCAAAGGCTACAGTCAGAAAATGGACAAACAGGCATGACTTTTCATTGGAGTTTACAGAAAATTAACATCAGAAACCAGAAGAAGATATAAATAGGGTCTGTAATTTACTTACTCCCGGTGCCAGCTGTAGATGATTTGACAGCAGACTGCTTTGCGCTGACTTGGACAACGTTATTAGCGTCGACAGCGCAGTAGATAATGCAGCCTACCGAACGTCAATTTGTGTAGGGAAACACATTTTCAGACACTAAATTCTGTGCTTGCTTAGCAGACTACTGAAAAGGATGCGCAACTAATTTTTACTTATATTCTAATGAAAAAATACATTTAATGCTGCGTCGCCAGAAAGCGATCTCAGTCTTTGATGTGTTCTAGCCAAATATCTAGTGCTATCTTATTTCATCAAATCTATTATGTAAACCAGATGTTACAGGCTATCAATCTAATATTATGTGGAGTACCTGCATATATTACAGTGAATGCGTCTCTATGAAGTGAATTGCTTATTGAAAGCATATACACTGGTTTCTAATTTTCTGGACTAGCCGACACTTCATTTTGTCGGTGATCTTCCATAAACCCCATACTTGTCTAATTTAGAAAAGGGAAAACAAGGATTGAAATTACTTTAGTTGTTTTTTTTTTTTTTGTTTTTGTTTTTTTTTTTCTTCATTTCATTCGTCCGAGTTACGTAATTTATTTGTGTCTGCTCACAGCTAAGCTGCGATATTTTTTTTTTTTTTAAATTCAATAAACTGATGCCCCATTTATCTAGCCCTGAAAAGTTTGTTCTGTGGTTGCATAGGGTGGCGTTAGTGAGTTGGGGGGGGGGGGGGGGCGCAGATCCTCATCCTTCATGCCCCGCTTGCACACATCTTTATATCACAGTAGGGATCGGCCTGGACATCTTCTACCCATCATCTGTAATTCAACGCCGAGGATGTCCTTGTGGACTCTAAACACTGTTACAGTAGAAATAAAGAAACTTTTGTTTTGATTTTTGAAAGATTAGAGTTGATGTAAGTCAAGTGGTGAGATACGCCAGCCTTTGCCCATCAGGATCTGTAATCTTCTTTTCTTTCACCACCGGTACACCGGTAAACTCTGGCAGAACGCTCTGATTGTGTATTTCCTGCTGGACATTGAACAGTGGACACTCAGACTGACAAACAGACTGGCGGACAGCTGGATGAATTGATGCGAGTTTACATGCATGTATAGATAATGAAAGGATGGATAGATTTTCAACTTCCTAAGAAGGTTTCCAAATATTTGTTCTCCTCCTCCTTCTTCTTCTTGTTCTTGTTCGTCTTGTTCTTGATCTTGCTCTTGTTCTTCTTTTTCTTCTTCTTTCTTCTTCTTCTTCTTCTTCTTCTTCTTCTTCTTCTTCTTCTTCTTCTTCTTCTTCATCTTCTGCTTCTTTTTCTTTTGCATCCCCTGTTTCTTCTTTTTTTTCCTTTAATGCAGTTTCCGGCTGTAAACGCCATTGGAAAGTTCTTGTTGTAGGTCCTCTTTTGGACTTTTGTTTCGTTGCAGGAAATTAATTTTGCGTGCGCAACTGTTTTACCGATCTAGCTAATAGATGTGTCTCTGTAAAGTCTGAGATGTTCGGCGACTCGCATTTGTTGTGTTTAAAAAAAAAAATGCCTGTTCCCCAAATGTTGACTTTCGTTGTCTTGTGACGTTGTGCTATAGGCTCCTGTTTGTGCTTTAACCTCTTTGTTACATGTTACTTTTTTCCATATTGACATCCTAGCAAATGGGTCTGATCCACATGTGCACCGTCCTCAGATTCAGCAGAAATATCAGTGTCTCCATAGTCAGTGTAAGTTGAAGTTGATTGGCAAATCTTCTTTTGTTTCTTTCTAAGTTGCCCTTGAACCGAATCTCGTCCCTGACAACTGTGTATCAACATCTCTGGAAGGCAGTGTATTCTGTATGTCTGTTCTGTCCATAAGTCTTCTATCCATACTTCTTCCTCCACTAACCTGTTTCCCACAATAAACAATTAACTACTCCAGGTTGACCCATCCTTCAGTTTAACAATCCACGAACGAGCGACAAATGTGATGGTTTCACCAACTGTCGAGAATGCCCTGGAACCAGCTATCACACAGAGCTAATTCAAACTGCCAATTACTGCCTGTCTTTAACCATTTTTGCAGTGTAGACAGGAAGGCCTTTAAGCCTAACTACATTTGGCTTCATGGTTAGTGCTGTAGCCACGGACTATGCTGGTTAAAAAAAAAAATTTCCCTAGACAGAAATGTTTAAAATGCTTGACCTTACTGAGGATTCGAACCTGGTGAAATGAAAAGTAACATTGTAAGAAAGCTGGTTTTGTATGAGATAAGTAAATTGCGTATCCTTTACAGGACGTTGCACAACCAACCTTAACAGCCCCTGGCTGTTGTGTGGTTTTTCTAGGCAATTTACATCTAGTAGTTTGCCATTGCATCCTGGACGGTCGGCTTTCTTGATACCACTGTCGAAACCAACGCGAGGCGCATTGCCCGCAGCTGGGATCGAACCTGGCATCCCGGCATTACGACGGGAAGCGTTCGCATCGACTTAGCCACAGAGCCGACTTTGTATGAGATACTTGGCGAACACGGTCGATCTCTACACCTTCTTCACCAATACTGTCAACATAACTGAATGAAGACAGTGAACCCGAGCATTTTGATTTTCATTATCTTCTGACCCCTATTGAAAACTCTATTGATTTTATAAACCAGTGATCTCCAACCATGTATGAGGTGGCGCGCCACACCAACATTGAGTATATTGCAACCCCCCCTCCCCCCCCCCCTTTTTTTCCCCCTTTTCCGACATTACAATATGTGATTACACATAGGAGAACAAAACGAAAAATTCCAAAAACTGTTACAAGAAATTTGAGACAAACCACAAATCAAAGCAACAAATAACAAAAGAAACAACCACAAACAACTGATAATTGAGTGTTCAAATATCAATGTCATGACTGATGACATCTTCTATTTTTTTGGTCTGATGTTGGACAGGCACAACGGTTTTCACTCTCCGCATCAAGCTGGCAACGGAGTTTTGTATTCATGACCTAAATCTAAAAATACGGATTTTTTCAAATACAAATGCACTCAGTTTCAAAATTGCTTGACGCCCCCTCGCGCTCCCGAGGTTGGAGATCCCTTTTGTATACAGAGGAAAGATTTTCAACGTTAAAGACATTTTCAGTTTCTGTACTGTTGCTCGTAATTTATGTTTGACATGTATCGTTCCTCTTAGGCGTTATCTGTAAACTTTAATTTCAGTACAACGACACAATTAATTCACAAATCACAAGTTAAAGTAATTTATTTTATAATGCATTTTATACCTCATACAATAGAAATATCATTTGTAGACAAGGTTGGTTTTTTTTTTCTAGGTTTAAATTCAAATCACACAAGTTAACGTCTTCTTCTTCCTCTTCTCCTTTTCCTCCTCATTCCTTCTCCTTATCTTCCTCCCTTCTCTTCCTGCATTATCGTCATCTTCTTAATTTTTCTCCTTGTCCTCGCCTTTCCTTCCTCTTCTTCCGTTTTTGTCTTTTACCCCAGCGAAATTAGCGGTGGGGCTACGATATGGGAGAGATTAATTTAAAGATATTCGGAGCTCTGTTTCTTCAACACAGTACAGATATATCGTCATTTCGTCTCTGATAGCGAAGGCACATGATGATTATATTTCTTAGGGAGGAGACACTGGGAGATGTTTTTTTTTTTTTTTTAAGATGGCGGTAGGCCGAAGACAATTTGGGAATCCGTTTGGGAATCTATGTTCTTGATGATACATGTCACAAAGTTTGGGAATCTATGTTCGTGATGATACATGTCACAAAGTTTGGGAATCTATGTTCTTGATGATACATCTCACAAAGTTTGGGAATCTATGTTCGTGATGATACATGTCACAAAGTTTGGGAATCTATGTTTTTGATGATACATGTCACAAAGATTGGGAATCTATGTTCTTGATGATACATGTCACAAAGTTTGGGAATCAATGTTTTTGATGATACATGTCACAAAATGTGTGAAAGACGTTATACAAGGAGGCATTGACGCCGTAAGGAAACCTAACAAACACAGTAGGAATTTGGTAATGCGAGAATGTACATAGACATCGGATTTCATAAGCAGAAAAGTAGCAGTACGTCAGCAAGAGAGATCATCTGAGAATTACTTAAGTGTCAAGACGGCGTGAATACGTCACCCAACGAGGATTGACTGGTCTATGTGTTTAGCCGCATATGCCCAGTGCACCACTGACGTATAAAGAGACCTTTACTTTGTATGTATCAACAACCACATGAGGATAAGGTAGATATATAGATAGAAAAACAGTTGACCGGGGGTAAGATGGATACCTGTTTGAGTCTCATCCTTGAGATGTAAATCTTAAGGCTGTAATCCTTGAGTGGAAGAACTAAAACTTAATTAACAAAGTAACAGTTTCAATAAATGTACCACTTCTTCTTCTTCTTCTGCCTTTCTAACCCCCACTGGAGCATAGGCCCTGAACTCACGCCAAGTCATTCTATCCTTCGCTATCACATGCAGATCTCCCTATGTCCTCTTCATCTTTTTAACTTCACTCTCTAGCTCTCTCTTCTACAGGTTGTTGTTTTTTTTTTTTTTTTTTTTTGGTATTTGTGTGGGCGTGGGGTCTTCCTTTATTTCTAGGCACCTGTGGGTTCTAGTGGAAAGTCATTCTTGTTATAGTGTTCTAATGTTTTCTCAACATGTGTCCTATCCAACGTCAGCGTCGTTTCCTCACCTCTTGGTCTACCTGTCATATATTACGTATCTGGTATCGCGGTCTGCAAAGCAGCGTAACTGATTTGAATACTGTTTTATTTTTAATTCAACGTTTTTACAGATCTTCTCTAGCTCCTGACTGTTGCTGTTCTTGAAGCCACCGAGGCAACAGCGTCTCCCAGATGACACGTCGGTTTCCTAAAATGTCTTTCTTTACTGAGGGTTGTAGTGAAAAGCTCAGATATCCTTTAGTTTCGGGATCAAAAGGAGACCACACGACATTTTTCTGTTCCGTTAAATACTTGTTTGGATTTCTGTAAATACATTAAAACAGATTATACATATATTATTGTATCTATATTGTTCGTTTGAATATATAGTGGCAGACACAGCACTACTGCCAGTTAGCATTCTAACATTACATTCATTATGTTTAGAGGCAGTATAAATAATTGTTAATTTATGACTCAGGGGGTACGCAGAGGATCCCATTGTATTAACAATGGCTACAGTCACTAGACCAGTATGGTGACTGCCAAGAAGGAAAACAATGGCAAACTACCTTCTGCAAGATGCCAAGGATAGTGATGATTTCACGTGTGTTTTGGACATGTTGTTAGAATGAATGGACTCGAAAGTCTGGTAATAACTGGGAAAAATTTATGGTGAGAGATAAGTGATAAACAACTGGATGGCTTGGCCTTGTGTTAGGGTTGGGACACGATCACTGACCCGATCCGAGATTCTGGTGATCAACTGAGATGGCTAAACGTGAGAGCTCACGTTTATCGGCGAGGAACGTGAGGGTAACAGTGATGGTGATAATAAATGCAGATGCAGGCATGCATATTACGACACCCACTACCCATTATATATCACTGAATTACTCAGACAGTGTCAAGTCAATGAAGAGCAGCTGCAATAGACCTCTGTCTCCCCCCCCCCTCTCTCTCTCTCTCTCTCTCTCTCTCTCTCTCTCTCTCTTGGCATGGACTGTAGACTCTCTCAGACTGATCTTCGTCCATTTCTTAGAATTATCCTACCACCTGTGTCCGCTGACTACTGCTTTCTCGCCTGCATTTAGCTTTTCTATTCCGCTGTCCTTTTTTCAGTAGATTTCTTTGCATCTCCATTATGCCCTCTGTGGGTTCTGAGATCTGATTTTGAGAGGGACAAAATAGACCCCTGCCCCTAATAAGCATGTCGAATGCGACTAATTAGATGTGTTTCCTTCAAAGTGCCTCTGTCTGAGAGGTGTCAACTAATTAGATGTGTTTCCTTCAGAGTGCCTCTGTCTGAGAGGTGTCAACTAATTAGATGTGTTTCCTTCAGAGTGCCTCTGTCTGAGAGGTGTCAACTAATTAGATGTGTTTCCTTCAGAGTGCCTCTGTCTGAGAGGTGTCAACTAATTAGATGTGTTTCCTTCAGAGTGCCTCTGTCTGAGAGGTGTCAACTAATTAGATGTGTTTCCTTCAGAGTGCCTCTGTCTCAGAGGTGTCAACTAATTAGATGTGTTTCCTTCAGAGTGCCTCTGTCTGAGAGGTGTCAACTAATTAGATGTGTTTCCTTCAGAGTGCCTCTGTCTGAGAGGTGTCAACTAATTAGATGTGTTTCCTTCAGAGTGCCTCTGTCTGAGAGGTGTCAACTAATTAGATGTGTTTCCTTCAGAGTGCCTCTGTCTGAGAGGTGTCAACTAATTAGATGTGTTTCCTTCAGAGTGCCTCTGTCTGAGAGGTGTCAACTAATTAGATGTGTTTCCTTCAGAGTGCCTCTGTCTGAGAGGTGTCAACTAATTAGATGTGTTTCCTTCAGAGTGCCTCTGTCTCAGAGGTGTCAACTAATTAGATGTGTTTCCTTCAGAGTGCCTCTGTCTGAGAGGTGTCAACTAATTAGATGTGTTTCCTTTAGAGTGCCTCTGTCTTAGAGGTGTCAACTAATTAGATGTGTTTCCTTCAGAGTGCCTCTGTCTGGGAGGCGTCAACTAATTAGATGTGTTTCCTTCAGAGTGCATCTGTCTGAGAGGTGTCAACTAATTAGATGTGTTTTCTTCAGAGTGCCTCTCTATCTGAGAGGTAGTTACCCAACAAACCGAGTGCAAAAAATCCAGTTCTATCAAACGCATGTCTACGCAAAACACAAGTTCTGAAACAACACCAAATGCCAAAAGTGGACGACCAACCAAAGTTTACAGCACGTGAATGCTAAGAAAAGGATTCCTAGTCAATTCAGAACAGTTGTACTGTATAGTTTCTGATTATCTGTAAACAGACTGCTACTGTCACCATTGGTTTGAATGATGCCCTGGCTGCTGAAGATGGGGACGAGGAACTTATGAGAATACCCCAAATGCTGTAATGTTGGTTTTTGAATCAACTTAACTGTTTATGTGAGATAGACCAGTCTGTACATTCATATCTCCAGAACCTTAATTCGACTGTAAAGTAAAGGACTTTTTACCACGCCTTCACGGTATTGAGCATACAGGGCTAATCGTATATTTTATAGACCAATCTGCACTTGATGGGAGATGTGGTCAGCATCACCCGGCCTCCTTTACTTCCCATGACTTGTACTTTGTACCCACTCAAGACTGAGTCAAGATCATTTACGAAAATAATTCCGGCTACTTCAGGATCCGAACACACGACCTTCTGATTCACAGGCGAGCGTTAAATTAAACTGTCTAGTTCACGTTCAACAAGCGTCTCAGAAGAGGGAGCTTTAGGTTATAATTGTGACTAGGTTATGTGCGCCACACGAGATCTAAAAAACGACTCCTGCAGTACTGATGCGATCACAGGAGACCGACCCCAGTACAGCTCTCACCGACGAGCCAATAGGCGACCCAGTGGGCGATGTGTAAAAGCCAGTATGGGCGGCTGATCGTCTTACATAGTAATCCTTCTCCTCATCACCATCAACATCATCATCATCATGAACACCCTGCTGTGCCATTACAGACTGTTGAATCTCACCGATGTCATAATGTAATCTAGTCCAGCACCTTTGGGCTCTCTCGTCAACGTTCATCTAAGTCTTCTTCTTCTTAAAGTCCATGCCTTGTGGCGTTGGTAGTCTTGTGTATCCACAACCTTCTGTCTCGTATACTTCAGTCAACGTTCATCTAAGTCTTCTTCTTCTTAAAGTCCATCATGTCGTGTGGCGTTGGTAGTCTTGTGTATCCACAACCTTCTGTCTCGTGTACTTTCAGTCAACTTTGACACTGATGATCTTCCATGCCTTGATGTCCAACAGTCCAGCATCTTTCTTCTTCTTCTTCTTCTTCGTGTTCACCAGCTGTTCACTCTGGCGGAAAGTTCTGGTTGTTCATCCAGTTCTGAACTGCAGCCCTGCTCCAGAACCTGAGTGTTGTGTGTGCATCAGTTTTACAGATCTGATTCACTTCAATGCAGACTGTTGGTTCCTTGCCTCTCAGGCAGATGCACTCCAACTTCAAAGGAAGCTCCCCAAAGGAAGCTTGGGTAGGCAGTGGGTCTATTCTTGTTTTCCCCACAATGGGGCCCACACGGGGACGTCCAGCATCTGTTCTCTCGGTCTCCCTCAGCCTCCCCTCCCCCATAACCTTCCTACCGTCACGATATACTCCAGTATTCAGCCATCAACACTATATAGTCGGCATATAGCAGGCTGTTTACAAAATTCCTACCAACCACTATTCCTGGCATACCATGTATGGATCTAATTATCTTTGACTGTACAAATTTAATCAATCGGGTGATAGTACATATCCCTGTCCAATGCCTTGTTTAATGTTTTGAAAAGTTCCAACTTGGTTGTCAGTATTTATGGCTGCTTCTTGTTGCCAGTATGTGTGTGTGTGTGTTTTATTTTGTATTTTTTATTTTCATTATGCTCAGATCGTTACCAACAATTCATCTATGACAGGGCTATTTAAATGGCCTATGAACCAAAACTGGCCTGTGTAGGTCCAGCGAGTGGCTCACGGATCATTGCCTGTTGTGTTGTGGTAATGATGTGTCTATGCTGACGATCTTCAGTTTCAAAGTTTTAGCACCTGAGTAAACTTAGATAAATAGCTATGGTCTAAGTGTTTTTCCTGGGCGTCCTTGCTTCCTTAATCCATTTATTTCTTATTTTGGTGCCTGTTTGGTGATTCCTTGTATTCTTCTCCTTCTGATTGGACCAATATATCCCTATCTTTTTCCCCATTACGATTGTTGATATTAGCTATTATCCGGACAATTCGTCTATTTCTTGCACCTTTCGTGAATTCTTTCCTTTAAAAGGTAACCTAACCCTAAGAAAATGTTACAGCCCAGTGTTTGTAAAGTCATGATTGTCGAAACCTAATCCATAAATGTCATCCATCTACAAAGAAATGTTGAATTACGAATCGACATGATAGTACTTTGAACATTCCCCCCCCCCCCCCCCCCAAAACCCTGTATTCATTTTTAGCAGCAAGCGCAGAGTTTTCTCATTTCGATAGCACCAGTAACAGTCTGATTGTATATCCGTCCCACTCTTTCCTCGAGTGTTGAGCGTCTTTCAAATCTCCAGGTCACTGCTCTCGGCACTATTTCCCTTAGACGATGATGATCTTTCTTGAAATCCCGTACTGTTCCCTAGCTCCCATAGGACCCTTACAACATCTAGCTTGTCAGGCAGCAGTTCACTACCAAGTGGTTCAGAACCAAACAGTCTGTTTGCCTGTTCATTTCCTAACACACAAGTGCCACTGGTGAAAATATTAAAAGGACACCAACAACCCCGGACCTCTGAAGCCGTGCTTACCACTCTGCACGGTTCACACCATGTCTCCACCTTTCTCAGCACGCTCTGAGTGTCAGTTATAGCTACGATATTTGTGTAGATTTAATTCTCAGAGAAGCCATCGGAAAGCTGCAATGACTGCCTTCACCGCTGTTCTCAAACTAGATGTTGTGGTATCATGTAAAAGGCTTTGCTGTACTAAACGACATTCATTGGCTTTTGCAATGAACACATTGGAGGAAGAAAAAGAAAAAAGAACGTTTAGCTCCATTAGTACCAAGTTCTTTATAATTAAAATTAATTTCCCCGAACTCTGATAATATATATCCGTATTCTAATCAAATCAATAATAAGATCTATACAAAATGTGTGCTTACCCTGTTTTGATAAAAGCTGCAATCAAATCAATGTAGTCAGCCTTCAGCTGGATGTCTTCCTCGTAAAACTTATCCTCCAGTTCAATGTAGTAAAAGTTTTCAATAAACTCTTTCGTGTTTAAGTCGAAGAGATATGCCAGGTCTAGAGCATGCAGCATATACTGATCGGGGACGTATCTCGGGCTGTGATCAAAGGACATCAGATACGCATTCTTATCCGGGTTGGACTGTTTCCTCGGCTGTCTTGTGTATGTTTCCACGAAACTGACACTTGCTTTCAGGAAAGTTATATCAGTGGTCAGAGCAGTGACAGATTTCTTCAGATCCCCATATATGTTTTGGTACTCATTTAGAACCAATTCAGCAACACGAGATGGCAGCCCCAACCAAGGGGACAATCCTTCCAGGCTATGTTTCTGTGAAGTTACGTCTATGACTCCAAAGCGAGCGCTGGTCATAATATCCCCGTCATCCGCAGTGATGCTAACGATGTAGTCCCGGTTGTAAAAGCCAACTTCTGACAAAAAATCAGTGTCGTTCAGTATTTCTGCGAAAGGTTTTGGGAGGAGATCATCGCCTGAAGATGTGGCGCTGATTGTAGGGTCAAAACCAAAGTCTGTCACAAAGGTTTCAGCGGGTAATTGTTTCAGACATCTCACCACGGCTTCTTCGTTTCCATCGACAGACCCCGAGCCACATCCGTACTTGTTTGATGCCTTTTGTAGGTAGTCGTTGGAGGTATGTGGGGAAGTAGGTAAGATTTCTGTTGTGCCACTCAAAAGTACTGCCTGACAGTGATACAAATTGCAATCATTAATGTTTACTGTATGAAGAATAAATTTCAAAAACGATATGTTAACTGTATGTCACGTATTATCATATGTTTACTGTATAAGCGTTTATCTTTGTATACACAAGGGAGCTGAACGGTAGTAGACCACGAGGAAGAACAAGAAGACGATGCAGATGTAATGCCCAGTCAAACCTGCAAACATTTGGGTGTAACCAACTGGAAAGAGAAAGCAACCAGAGAGATGAATGAAGACAAGTGACATCTGCAGCTGTGAACCTCAAGAGCTTGGAATGCTGAAGAAGAAATTGTTGTTGAGACATTTCGGTCTTCACAGAATAGTGGTGTGACGTGTTTTAGGTTAAAAGATTAAATGTTAAAATCGAGGTTTTATCCCACGCAGCTCGGTCTGTCTCCGGAGAACAGCTAGCCGCCTGAAAACCTGGCACAAAGCCCGAACACCGTAGAGCCGTGAACATAAGGACGCAGCCGTGAAACGAACTTTCGAGAGCGCGAGAAAAACGACTTGGCTACTTTGCCGCGGAGTCCTAACATGTATTATAGGGAAAAGGGAATAACAACCTAAGGCAAAGGCAAGTGTGACTGGCAAAAGCCGCTTGCAACAAGAAAAGTTTTGTACGATTAGAGAATAAGATTTCAGGAGCACTGTTAGAGATTAGATAATAGGATTTCAGGACCACTGTTGCAGCGGTATCTATTTAACATGAATCTGAACCGAGTATATACGTTTTCTATATACAGAAATCCTCTGTATCATACATCACCTGTATCATACATCACCTGTATCATACTTCACCTGTATCATACTCCACCTGTATCATACTCCACCTGTATCACACATCAACTATAGTATGCATCAGACTTCCGGGTAAAATGGCCGGTAGCCGGCTAACCGCTGACACTGTGAAATTATGTTTCCAGCTAGGTTTTGCTTTGCGCGTTTTCCATTTTTTTTTTACCAGAAGTCAAGTTCCGTCGCCCACCTACTGAGATGCATTCTAGGTGCGACATAGATTTAATGAGTATTGTTTTCTCCTTGATATGCCTGCTGCGTGTTGTGACTAAACAAAAATAGTGTGTAACTTTCTTACTTTCGTGAATGACAGTTTGCACCAATAGTGATCTACAATTCTGTGGTGACACCGTTAGTGTTAGCATGTCTTACATATGCCTTGTGGATTTTTAATATACGTGAGGAAGTTTCAAGGTTTTACTGAGACTGACATGTTTTTCCAATTTTTTTTTTATAAATGAGACAGTGACGGACAGTTTATGTGATTTCCATTTATGTGATCTCCACTGGCAGAGGAACGGTGAATCATCTGCAGTGATGTTGAAGCAGCTATCAAACTTCAACTATATAACACCACCATCCCGTAACACTGAGTGTCGTTGGGTCACCAGTTGACGTTGGCTGTCTGATCAGATCCCTCTACATTTGACGCTCAGATGCGGTGGACTTCATGGTTGTATACTTAAGGCCTGTTCAAAAGGTCAAGTTATGTATCCAGGTCTATCTTGATCTGCCTCTTCTCATCCTCCCCACTAATGAGCCCTGTAGTATGTTTTTGAGAGGCCGTTATATCTTTTCACATATCTGTACCATATCATTTGCCGCCTTTCCATTGTAGTTAGAAGAGGTTCACAGTTGTCAATGTGTTGTATATTTATACTGCGAACCTCGTCATTTTTATCGTGTCTCTTATGTTAAGCCAAGAATTGTTTTCTGAAAGATCGTTTTTTCCAATGCTTAGATCTTCTTACAGAGTTCACCTGTTAAGGTTCATGTTTCTTGTGTAAATACATAAGTAACTCTTAGCAGTCAAAGCTCAGTTGTAATAGAAATGTTTTTTGATCTCCATAATATTTGCTGTCTGGCAAGGTCTGCTGTCTGGGCAATCCAAGACAGCATTTCTGGTCTGGATCCTAGTCAGCATAAAATAGATCCTAGATAATTGAAATGCTTGACTTGTTCTAATCTGTGACCTTTGACACACATTGATGTAGTTATTATACCAGATGGATTATGAGTCATTACTTTAGTCTTTTCCACGTTTATTTGTATGCCATACTTGGTTGATGTCACTTCAAGCAGATTTACAAGTTGGACTAGCTCTTGTTCTTCCCCCGACAACCTGTCGACGTCATCTGAGAACGTTAAGTGTTTTACGATTCGTCCTCCTATACTAACTTGTACAAGATGTTTTCCCGGGGCACCAGTCATGATTATTTCTAAGAAGATGTTAAACAGTGTTGGGGAGAGTGGGAAACCCTGTCGGACTCCTACTGTTGTTTGGAACAGGCTTTCTATTTGTGCGTTTAGAGTGACAGCACTACTTACTTTAGCATTAAGCAGTTTTATACAACGTATGCAAGTTTTACCCACACTGTATTTTTTAATAGTATCCCAGAGTGCTGAATGCCATACTCTACCAGAGCCTTTTTGTAAATTATTGAACATATGGTACAGATGCTTTTGGTGCTGGTGGTATTACTCTGACAATATACGCTCTTTCAGAAAACAGTTCTTGGCTTAACATACAGAGACACGACAAGAAAGTACATCTGTTCAAACGTGCTTCTTCCAGCATGCACCTCCGCTGTGATTACTTCTGCTTGCTGCTTCAGCGTGTTTAGAAGTATCTGGAGCATGACTTTACTGGGGTGACTGGTGCGACTTATGTTCCTATAATTCTGACTTTGTTGTAAATTCCCGGTTTGTTTTTTCTTTGTCTAGGATGGTAAACATAAGTGATTTGGTCCACAAAGATAGCCATTCACCAGTCTCCCAAAGTTTGTTTCATCTTTCCGTGAGAATGTCAATAAAGTCTTGAGAATATCAGCTGGGATGTTGGCAATGATCCCCGCTTTCCCATTTTATTTTAGTTCTGATGGCCAGTTCAACTTTTTCCCGGAGTGTTGGGAAGTTGTCATCTTCCTGTGTTTGGTTGTTCTCAAGGATGACGGTGTTGCTATTTGTTTGTTCGTTATACAGGCTGGAACAGTTTTCAGAGTATCAATTTAGGATGTCATTACTTTCTGTGAGAAGGTTGCTCTCTATGTCTTGGATGACGTTACTTCCTAATGATCTCTCTATGTTGGTTTTTGAAAAACAAGAATAAGAAGCAACGAATAAAATTCTTTGAGTCTGCTAGCACAAAACTTACCTTAGTGAAAAGTCCTTTAGCTAATGGTGAAACACTCAACAAGGACGTGCTCAAAGATCCCGCAGACTCGCCAGAAATCGTCACGTCATCAGGGTCGCCCCCAAAGGACCGGATGTTGTCCCTGATCCACTGTAAACTCAAAAGCTGATCCCAGAAACCTTGATTTCCGGGCAGATAACCGGAGTTTCCTCGCAAGAATCCAAACCAATTTAGTCGATAATTCATGGTCACGACAATTAGATCACCCTGTTGAAGACACACAAATCAAGATATAGTAGTGTAGACGATTGTTTTGGAAGCATCGGTTAAAATGAGTAAGTAAATGAAATGATCCTTTTCTCCTCAGTGTGGTATCGGACATACGGTACGAGATCTATTATTTCACGGACCAAATGGTACTCCAGGAGTGATGACTTCGCCATTACAGAAAAACAGCCCAAAGGCTGTGACTGTAACATAAAAATTTCAGCATCAAATTATCAGTAGTCATCGTGCATAGAATAAATTCCTTAGTTTATGCCACTAATGGCGTTCTACGCATGGATGAGACAGGAGGAGGGTTTAGCGTAGGGCCCGACCCGCCCCACCCACCAAGTATAAAACAATACGCAGAATAGTAAATCGATAAACATTACATTTAGAGAATTCAAGAAGCTGAAGAAATAATATGCAAGCCTGGACAACACAGAGAGTCCCTGTGTCGGAGCTTTGGTTCGCTCCCTGGCGGAGCCGGGCTTTTTCACAAAATGACCTTGGCTCTCAGGTCGACCTAGCCTGAGTGGGTACCGGGTGCAGTCCCGGGAAGTAGAGGCGGCCGGTGTGCTGCTGACCACATCACTCATCTTGTGCCGAGTGGTTTATAAAATATTGGTCTAGCCCTATATGCCCTATACGCCTAAAGGCGTGGAAAAGGGTCCTTTACTTTTTTTTTTACTTACTGGACAACACTTAGTATTCACAGCTATAAGAAAAGAAGATACGATATAGTGGGCACATCCTGAGGAGTGAACAGATAATCATCAAATATCCACTCAAGTGGTAAACAAAGGAAAGGACGACACGAAAACGTCCAAAAGAATCTCTATGGCGAACAGTAACGGGAAACCACATAAGTGTTAGACTGTATTACATCTACAATATGGAAACTATTGCACGGGACATGTGGACATGGAGAAATAAACTACAAGCCCTGTGTGACGTAGAACAATACAACAGGAAGATGATGATGAGAACAGTGACGACGATGATGATGATGATGATGATAATTAAACGTAGGAAGTATAAATAGATAAGTATTTCCAATACGTATAACCAGTGACGCGATGCTTTGTTTGCAACAGAATGAGTTGAAAGTTATAATACTCTTCTAAGACACGCTGCTGCGTGGAAACATTCAAGCTTGCGAACAATAGATAGACAAGTATGCAAGTGGTAGAATAACATGCAGTTAGAGTCAAAGATAAGAAATCTGGCCCAAAGGAGCGACCCTGCAAAACAACTGTGGGGTACAAATGAATACCTAAAGCCCATCGTCCCGTTTTGTGACCAGTACTAGAATATACGCATTGCAAACCATCGTTGACGAAGAAAACAGAAACTAGCTAACGGTCGAGACACAGGAAGTATACGTGGAGACACACATTTACACTTGGGAAAACAAGAGACAGTTTCTTTTCATAACATCCTTCACTTAATCAGAAGCCGATTTGAAATACTGTGTATTGCTTGTGGGGCGGAGCGTGAAAGAGACGCTGAACATAACAAAAAGGCAAAAGATCTAACAAAGTATATAAATATTTATGGAGAATTTGGATGTAGATTCCGTCTCTTCTCCTTTCGTTCGCTTGAAATAGATTTATCTATATCTGCAATGTTGTCTCCAGTATAAACTTCACTGTCTTTTGTAATTCACTCAGCCACCCGTAAAGTTTGACTTGTTTGACTGATGTTTCTCTTGGCCAAAAGTTTTGTCTTGATGTGTTGTATTTGGGAAGCTCTTGGAGGACGTGATCAAGTATCAATCCACATGTGCACATGGGGGATTCGCCAAATAAAAGTGTTGTGTACATGTGGCTACGAGGTCGATTGTGTCCTGTTCTAAGACGTAGAATAATAACTTGCCCTGGTCTGTTTATAATATGGTAATCGTCTTTGCTGGTTTTGTCGGGCTTTCTGATTGATTTGATTATTCTCTTCTTCGGTTGATAAAAGACTGGTACGTCAGTTTGGCTGTTTTTCATTTGCAACTTTCTTAGCTAGTTGATCAGTTGATCAGCTCTTTCATTTCCATGAACTCCACATTGGGGTGGTATCCATTGCATAGTTACCTTACGCCGACTGCCGTTTGGAGAGTTGTGTTCGTATACCACGCAATCTTCTAGATTGGAACGTTGATGTCATCAAAATCCAGATGGTGGCTGGAATTTTCACGTCTCGAATTGTTTACAAAAATCTAGTCTTACCATAAATGTAACCTGTATTGTCGATGAGATAATGACTTCAAGGAGATCATAGAAGTGTTTATGAACTGCATCAGGACCATGTGTTTTTGATCGCCTTCATGTTGATGTGAGTTCGTAGTCAACGTCGTCAGACCGCAGAGGACGCATCGTCATGGTCAACGAAACAACAATGCTACGTCGGCGTTATGCACAAACGTAGATGTGCCGATGATGCCAATGATGCCGATGATGCCAAAGTCCTGTTTACGAGCGTACACACATATCAGGGTAGTCAGTTCGGTCCCATATGCCAGTAGCTAAAATTAGGTGCTGAAGTCGGAGGTAACCAGCCAGGAAGAGCACCAGGATGCCACGCACAAACGGTATAGGAAATCTATCTATATCTGCAAAAAGATCTAGTAATAAAATAATGCACTGGAACACGGATGGAGTAAAAAGTAAACAAATTAGAACTAGAAAACACTTTCAGTAAAGAGGAGCTGCCTTTAAAATAAATATGTGATGTTAGTGAGCATATAATCTTAACAGTAAAGTACTGTAGCTTGTCAAAGCCCAGTCCCGTGTTCACGTCATGAGAGATAGCAAATTGGAGAACGTTAGGTATTAGGATTAGGTGAAGTTTGATATGGTCTGGTACCACAGTACCCCTACAGTAGCCACGAAGGACATCCCTGAAACATCCTAGCCAATGGATCTCTTGTGAAGTTGCAACAGACCTAGAAAGCTGGGAAGTTTATTATGCGTGTATCTTCGAAGTATATAACAGAACATAACTAGACACCAAACACTTTTTTTACTATGGTAATGTTTGAGGATAATGTTTCTGTGTCTGAGGCAGAAAACTGATACTCCACACACTCTCAAATTATAAGAGAGGAAGTGATAAAGAAGACGATAAAGACTCAGTAAATAAAGTCATGTGGCAACGTGGCAAGAACAATTACCCTGGTCACGAGGTCTCCTGGCAGATACGGGTCCGAAGCTCCAACAACGAATCCACCACCGTGGATAAAGACAAACACTTTCTTTAGTTCGGCGTCTTCTGACTCCTGCTAAATAATGTATATATAATTTATGTTTTCCATGTTCCCTTTTCCTCTTCATTCTTCATCTTCATTTCTTCATTCTTCTTCATTCTTCTTCATTCTTCTTCATTCTTCATTCTTCATTCTTCATTCTTCATTCTTCATTCTTCTTCTTCATTCTTCTTCTTCTTCTTCTTCTTCATTCTTCTTCTTCTTCTTCTTCTTCTTCTTCTTCTTTCTTCTTCTTCTTCTTCTTTTTCTGTTCTTCTTCTTCTTCTTCTTCTTCTTCTTCTTCTTCTTACTCTTCGTCTTCTTCTCTTCTTTCTTCTTTTTCTTTTATCTTTTTCTTTTTTCTTCTTCTTCTTCTTCTTCTTCTTCTTCTTCTTTCTTCTTCTTCTTCTTCCTTCGTCTGCTTCTTCTTCTTCTTCTTCTTTCTTCTTCTCTTCTTCTTCTTCTTCTCTTCTTCTTTCTTCTTCTTCTTCTTTTCTCTTTTCTTTTTCTTCGTCTCTTCTTCTTTCTTCTTCTTTTCTTCTTCTTGTTCTGTTTCTTCTTCTTTTTCTTTCTCCTACTCCTCTTAATTTTATCTCCTCTTAAATTTGCTCTCTTTCTCTTCTTCTTTTTTTTTTTTTACTACTACTACCACAACTACTACTATCACCATTACCACTACCAATACAACTGCCACTATCGCTACAACCACCACCACTACTACAACAACTGCTACTACTACTGCTGCTGTTGGTGCTGCTGCTGCCACTAATAATAACAATAATATTAATAATAATAAACACTATTTGTCTTCTCATTCTTCTGTTTACCTTAGCTAATTCTGGGTGGTTGTTGCCATGTTCTTCCGTGTGCTTAATTTTTCTTTCGGCATTTCTCTCTTCTTTTCTACTACTTCTTCTTCTTCTTCTTCTTCCCCCCCCCCTCACCCCTCCTCGTGCACTTTCGTACTCCAGTTGTCGCTTATATCTTCTTACTAATTAACCCCTACCCCTCTTTTCTGGTATTCTTCCCTCTGCTTTTATTATTACCAATCCGCTATGGGGCTTGATCTGGCTTAAATATTTCAGTTTCAATATGTTGTTTACTAGCAAATCTTCCTTTATAATCAGATCTGTTAATAAGTCAGTGTTCGTTTTTCCCTCTTGGCCCTTGGTATTCTGAGGATGTTTTTACAGCATTTTAGTTCAAAAGCTCATATTTTCTGTCCTAATGACTGCGAGATAATCTACGACTCACATCCATATGTGCTACAGGGTACCAAAATACCCTGACAATTTTGCCCTAAATTTCCTTGCTGCTGCTTAACAACAGACTTTGAAGACGTTATAACATATATATCGGTCTTCAAATGGGTCACACAAGATTAGCTTATTTAAACATAAATTTATATTTGTGTCACATATGGCACTGATTGTACCTTGGGACTGAAACAATATGACATGGGAGGGGGGGGGTTGTGGGGTGGGGGGTGGGCAGTGAAGAGAAGAGATACTTCTTTGCATGTTGTTACTCGAGTTTGACACGCATGTCTCATTTACATATAAGACATACAAATTACAATACCACTTGAGATCTGAGAGGCCTGAAGACATTTAAGAACAAGCAGTCTTCCTGTCCGATAACGGTTCCGTCTTTATGCTGGATGCACACACTGAGCCAAATTCTGTAGCGTCAAGTGTTCCCTGTTGAAATCATTAGTTAACCTCATGTCAAAGATCTAGTAATGTAAGGTACAACAGGACAATGGGGAGTCGCCGTGGCCGAGCGGCTAGACACTCGCTGCGGATCGGAAGGTCGTGGGTTCGCTCCCTGGCGGAGCCGGACTTTTTTCAAAAATTACCTTGGGTCCCAGGTCGACCCAGCCTTGAGTGGGTACCGGGTGCAGTCCCGGGAAAGTGAAGGCGGCCGGCGTGATACTGTCCACATCAGCCATCTTGTGCCGATTGGTCTATAAAAATATAGGTCTAGCCCTATATGCCCTTTACGCCTCAAGGTGTGGAAAAGGGTCCTTTACTTATTTTGCTTTACTTACTTACAACAATGAGAAAGAACCGGATATCCGTTTCCTAAATTATGATAAATAAAGTCAGTATTGTAAAGCAAGCGACTATTTTCACGCCAGTGGCCATTGAGGCAAACGATGCTAGACTTATAGACCTTGGTGGGAGATGTGGTCAGCATCACGCCGACCGTCTTTACTTCCAACGACTTTACCATGTTAGGCCGGTCGGCTTGAGAGCCAAAACCTTTTATTTTTTATTTTCCGAACCGAGGCAGTTTCGAACAGACGACCTTCGGGTCTGCAGCTGAGCGTTAGGCCGCTACACCGCCGCGGTTCACAAAGGAAGTCAAGATCTTTCCCACCTGAGGAGATATTGGGTCTATACTGCTGTCCCGGCATTCATGTGAAATTAACGTTAAAGTTGTGACAAGCGCCATTGTGGTCTTGGGAGAACGACAATGAAGGGTGTAGTTTCCGGAAAACGAACTCCAAGAAGGTGGAAGCAGGACATTGAAGAAACATTGACTATAAAAGCACACAGGGCTAGAGAATAGGCTAGAGAAAGAGACATTTTCAGACGTGCTACGAAAAAGAGCGACGTTCTGTGAAGGATCTGCTGACTGACTGAACGTTACATTCGAAAGGACTAGCCGCTACACCACTCTTAAAACTGTTATTTGGGTCAGGGTGTGTTATCAAAAAGAGGGGATTCCGTGAACGATAAGAGTACTGTTCTGCTGTACAGCAGTGACGTTTAAAAGGTAAACGAACGAGGAGTTTTAGAGTCACCTAAGGTGTGATTTCTTGGACTACCAATTAGCTAACACTGATTTTGACACGAAGATGCAGAATTGGATGTGCTGGCCCGAAAGGCATATATATATATAATATCACAGCCTAGCTGTAAGGACGACTGTAAACTAAGACAATTAACTTACCCCAATGACGGGATGACGAACTGGCAAGGCAAATCTCCGTTGACCTGTTGGAGGTAAGGCATAGGGGATTCCCCGGTAAGACTCGAACTCATAACCGCTGTGTGAGGTCAGAACTTTACCACGGAAAGTCCCAGCGGGGGTTCGGATCTCCGGGTCTGATGACCGGGCACTAGCACAATACAGTGCTGCAGCCACCAGAATTGTTGATAGCTGATGAAGTAGCGGCATATCTGTGTCAGTGGTCACAAGACAATAATGTACTCTGTTGAAGCTGCAAACAAGTATTATTTATTAGTACGTATGGAACTGGATGAAAAAAAACGTTAGTTAAAGGCGATTGGATCGACTTCCTCGCCTCGGGTTCTAACATTTAGCTAGATCTCTCTCCCTGAATGGTTAATCGCCTGCCGAGTATGTCGTAGCTCTAGCCACGATGCTCATCAATCTCTGTTAACACCTCACCCGTGAACTAAATAAACGATTGGTCCTTTTAAAGAGACCACGACTTTCAGTTCTCGAGGCAAATGGTTTGACTTTTTCGCCACGAAGACCTCCCTACCTTCCACTAAAAAAAAAAAAAAAACCAGACAACAACAATAGGGTGGAAAGAGAAATAAATAATCTCTAGCCTTTATGTCGAGAGATTAAAACAGCCACAAAGCAGTGGCTAACACGCTGACCCGTCCACACAATGATCATATGTTCCAAACACAAATGATGCTGGTTTGAACTTTTCGTACAGCATTCAGGTCGCCCTTTTCGTGACCGTGAATACAAATCTTTTTTTTTTCCCTCGACAAAAATGACCTTGGCTTCCACTTCGACCCAACCTTACACGTTTACCAGGTCAAGTCTTGGAAAGTCCTCTAGCTCCCATCTCTTTCTCTCTCTCTCTCTCTCTCTCTCTCTCTCTCTCTCTCTCTCTCTCTCTCTCTCTCTCTCTCTCTCTCTGTGTGTGTGTGTTTTAATTACCTTTGTTTCTACGATTTTGTGGCTTCCAGTGCAAAGACACTTTAGTTATGTTCTCAGGTTTTCTTAGCGTATCTTCTATCAAGCGTCTTTTCTTAGCCTCTTGGTCCACTGAATTTGTTTTGTTCTTTCTAAAAAACTCAACATTAGTAATTGTATTATGCCATTTAATTCCCTCAATTCTACGCAGGCAACAGTTATTGAATGTTCATAGTTTATTAGTAACTGCTTTAGTTGTTCCTTATGTTTCCGGCTCATACAATAATGCTTGATACGCATAGAACACAGCACTTTTATCGGGGGTTTTTTTTTCCGCATAGGCAAATGTTTAGGAGGAAGGAAGAGATTATATTTACTATAAATAGCATTTAAGGGATTTCCTTGTGAACAAATGGTTTTTAAAATACAAATTCTTAAGTCATATTTTCCCTATTAGCCATTAACACATTTGAGGCATCAAAGGTACCTAGTACTCTGAAATCCAATAAAGATTACAGTTATAACTATAATTGAATGTTCTCGTTTCTCGCTTATTTAAAAATGTTTAAAAAATGGGACATTTGACGGGATGGCCGGGACACACCTAACAACGGGACTGTCTCGGTGAAAACGGGACATTTGACGGGATAGCCGGGACTCATCAAACAACGGGACTGTCTCGGTGAAAATGGGAAGTATAGTCACCCTGTATATGCAGCAAGGTATTCCGTAAACATGTCGCCGCTACAGGATAACCATACAGAAACTTGTCAGCGAACAACCGGCTGAAGAATGTTGAATGTTGAATTAGGAATCGCTTTCGACAGCTTTCGGGACACTCCCATAAGCGCCCCGTCTCAATTTTAAGCAGCAGGCGATGAGTTCTTCTTCTTCTTCTTCTTCTTCTTCGCGTTCACCAGTTGTACACTCTGGCAGAAGGTTCTGGTTGCTCGTCCACTACTGAACTGCAGTCCTGCTCCAGAACCTGGGTGTTGCGTGTGCATCAGTTTTACAGATCTCATTCTCTTGAATACAGACTGTTGGTTCCTTGCCTCTCCGGCAGATGCACTCCGACTTCAAAGGAAGCTCCCCAATTAGTCGACTCTTACGACATCATTTTGGGGAGGCAGTGGGTCTATTCTTGTTTTCCCTACAATGGGCACCCGGAACCCACACGGGGAGCGAAGAGTTCCAATTCCGCTGTTACCAGTAGCTGTCTAATCGTACATCCGTCTCGCCTTTCCCTTGAGTGTTGAGCGTGGGCAAGATCCCTGGTAACTTCCCGCAGCGCCATTTTCCTCACACCACAATGATCTACTTGTACTTCGGCTGAAGAACATTGCTTTACATGTCGTGGACAAAACATTCACGGATCCACAGAGATGAAATAAGAAACAAACATATGCTAAGTTTTAAACAAAAAAATACTCACTGGGAAAGATCAGTTAGCACAAGAGCTTGATAAAAGTGACCTATGTGGGAAACAAGAATTCGCTATAACAACTGAATGTCTATGGCTCTGAGTTTTTAGACCTAAATCGTCAACGTATCAAATTGCGCAGGGGTAAGCAGTCATTCTCAGACCTACATACATAAGTGCTGCCAAACAGCAGTTATCACAATATATAACTCGTTATCTATCCCTCGGTGGTTTATACATAGGCACACACATATATGCAAACACACGCATGCACACACATATGAAGACCATGGTCACCGACATAATTAAAACAAGGGAGTTAGTCAGTGGAAGGGTTTAACGTTTTCCTGTCGAGTTTAAGAGGAGGCTCAAGGAACATCAGCCTTGTTTAAGTACTTAATACTAATCATAATAACAAGCTGAATGACAAATAAACATAACAATACAAAAGAAATTATATGATATCAAGTAATACAATTGTCATACTTGGTTTGCTGGGAGAGGATAAGCGGTAGCTTAACCCTTTTACTGATGGAGGGTGAAAGGTCAGCCCCGTTCTTGTACTTGTGTGTGTGTGTGAGGGGGGGGGGGGAGGTTAAGCGACCCTTGTGCCCCCATGTCTCGGCGCCCATGATAAAGACGCGTTTTCAGTTTAAAACGTATTTCCATATAAAGACACATGTTTACGTGAAGACGCATGCTCACTTCTGACGTATGCGGATGCTACCTCATAATGTATAAATAAGCACAGTATGCAGATCAGTAATCTCACCTTTGCTTCACATTTCTGACCATGTGTCGGGGACACTTAAAACATTTTGTACAATAAACCCATGTCACTGGAGGTTGGGAAAAGAATTCTCGCATGCTATATAGAGTCATACAGCAGTGAATCCTGGACATTTTTAAACAAACTGAACCATATTTTGTGGCATCGGAAATGTGGTTTCACAGAAGAATGCTTAGAATTCCTTGGACAGTTAAAAAAAAGAGCAACCCAGGTGTTTTGAAACAGACTGGAGCTCGAATTCAACATATTTCAAACATCCGAAAGAGGTAGTCGTTAATTTGTGGCCATGTTAAGAAAAGAAGGAAAGAGGATCGAGATGTGACCACTGGAAAGACCTTTAAACAAACAACGAACTATTAAACAAGCTTTATTTTTAAAGGGTTAAGAATTGGGCACGCAGGCCCGTCTATAATTTTCTCCTTCTAGTCTCTAGTCCTTTTAGTTTCTTCTTCTTCTTGGTCCATGGTATTCTAAGAGATTTTGGGGGTTATTTTTTTGGTATATCCACACGAAGCTAACAAATGCTGGTGTGCGACATCTTATTTAGTTTACGATCCAGTGCACACTGACTGCCACTGGCTATTGTCATGCCGTGACGGCGTAGAGTGTCTTTAATGTGTCGATCTTTTTTTTTCCGCAGCCGTCCTCTTGCAGATGCTGACTGTTAATAAAGAAGTAAATTCTGAGGCAAACGATATCACTGCGCTAGAGTTTAGTCGATTTACTTTTCGAATAACGATTGATCAATTAAAAAAAAATATTCAACACCCATTGCTCAATGCGTCATTGACGTTAAAATGTTTTACTTTCACGTTTAAATTGTTTGCCTTTAAATTGGATCTTAGTTCTGCTCTACTCTGACTACTCTTAGTTGGCTACTGAAGCTAGGGACGGAACACAATGTCCCGAGGGCAGCGATGCCAGATCTTCCTTCATTCATTCATTCATTCATTCATTCATTCATTCATTCATTCATTCATTCATTCATTCATTCATTCATTTATTCATTCATTCATTCTGCACCTCTTGTTGGTAAATTGATGGCTGATAAGTGGGAGTGAGTGAACAGTACAGAGGTTTTAGAAACACTGCGAATAAAAAAAAATTTATTGCCAGAAATAAATAACAGTTGAAATATTTTCGACATAATCGGCAGGTAATTAGCCGTTCAGGAAGAAGAGATCAAGAAATAAACGCTTTTAAAGACAAACTGGGGGGGGGGTGGGAGAGGGGGAGAGGTCGAGGGCAAGAAGTAATAACGGTACAAGTGGGAGGAAAACATTAAAAGATGGATGAACGGCAGACTGAGAGAATTTACCACCAAGACGAACGAACGAACAAACGGAAGAACAAACAAACTTTATTTTTAAAGGGTTAAGTATTGGGCACACAGGCCCGTCAAACATTCTGCCCTTCAAGACAAGAGACAGAGCGTGTTGGAGAATCATTGCAGCCAACTGTCATTGTGGAGACGGTACGTGACTGATTAAATGAATAAATCATCACAGTCTGAACATAATTGGGCTGCTCCAAGTGGCCAGTGGATCTGACTGGCACTCAACATTCAGGGAAAAGGCAAGAAGGACATACAATTAAACTACATTTGGTAACATCAGAGTTGGACATCAAAGCTGGCTGCTGAAGATGGGGACGAGGCGCTTTTAGGAATGTCCCGAGTGCTGTAATTTTGGGTTTTTATATCAGCTCTACAGATGACCTTCTGCGGAAACCTGCCAAACACCTAATCGGTGACACTAATCGTCTGTCAGAGACGGATGGAAACGGTCAGAACTGTATCGTTTTTTCAAGCTGGAGTTATTAACTCTTGTTTTTAAAGTGCAGCTGCATGGTTGGAGCAGCGGGAGCGGAGGAACTAGACTCTCGCCTCTATGTTAGAAGGTATTGGGTTCAAATCCGCATCAGGGCACACAAGAGACAGAGAGTGTTGGAGATCCATTGGATTCAACCTTCGTTGGGGAGACGGCAGCTGATTAACTGACTGATTGATTAGGTTCCACAGAGTCTAAAATGGGTACCAGATAATTTCCTGGGAAGAAAATGCGTGATCAG